TGAGCTTCGCAGCAAACGCCGATACAAATTTATCAAATATGCTCTCTTCAATGTATAGCCGAGATCCAGCGGCACAAACCTGGCCATTGTTTGCTGTGATGCCGATACTTGTCCAGAACACTGCGTTTTCCAGGTCGGCGTCAGAAAACACGATGGACGGACTCTTTCCTCCAAGCTCGAGCGTGACCTTTTTAAGATTGGAATCGGCAGCTGCGCGGAGGATCTGACGGCCAACGGGCGAGCTTCCTGTAAATGCCAGCTTTCTGACTTTTGGATGCTCGGCTAGTGCTTGGCCGGCAACTGGGCCATGACCACAGAGAATATTGATGACACCGGGGGGGAAGCCGGCCTCTTGGATCAAGCTGGCTAGCTTTTGGCCATATAATGGCGTCAGCTCGGGTGTCTTAATAATAAGCACATTGCCCGCAGCAATAGCAGGAGCCAATTTCCAAATAGTGATCATCCTGTAGAAGTCAGTCAGGCGTAATTATCGATATCACCATGTCCACCAGGTTATAGGACTTACAGAGGTGCATTCCAGGGCACGATAGCGGCACAGACTCCGATCGGGACTCGGGTTGTGTAGGCATATCCTTGTGGGATGTTTAGGGACTGTCCTGTAATTTTGTCTGCCCAGCCCGCAAAGTATCTCAGTGTTTCCGTAGCTTGGGTTATGTGCAGCGCCTTTGAGTCGGAGAAGAGAATCCCAGCTTCCAAAGCTTCCAAGCTTGCCAGATCGTCGGCGTCTCTCTCGATCAGGTCTGCCAGCTTGTTGAGCAGCGATCCTCTGGTCGATGGACGGACGCCCCTCCAAGTCTTGTAAAATGCCGTCTCGGCTGATGCGACAGCTGCATCAACATCCCGCTTTGTTGCTGCAGAGCATGACGCTAATATTTTGCCATTGTAGGGGTTCTCTACCTCCAAGACCTCATTTCCCTCCGCTGAAATGAACTCATTGTTTATAAAGAGCCCCGTATTGACTTGGGTAGCACGGCTTTGGTTAGTTCTAGGCCTTAATGGGTAGATGCGCAAGATTATCGATGGGGAGCAGTTCGCGTACCTCGAATTTGCCTCCCTCCGGCGCCGGTCAAAGTAATCAGGCTCATAATTTCCTACTAAGATTATATTTCCGTTATTTTAGCATCAAGAAAGGGTCAACTCGAATCTGTTTCGGCACCATGTTGATATGTATTTGTGGTACACGCGAATCGCCTATCGTGGGTATGGAATGTTCCAGCCAATGAAATAAATATCCGCCCCAGCATCTGGCAATTTGAACCACTGCAAATCTCGGAAGAAGGCTAATTTTATACCACTTCAAGTTACTGACTAGATCTGCAGCTCGACCTTCTCGCATACAAAGAATCTTCCCTTACGTGGTAATGCATGGTTGAGGACGAAGGGAGGAATATAGAGCCGGCAGCAAAACAAGCGTAGTTCATCTAATTTTGATGTGATCACTTCAAACCCACAGCACGCAAGTAAAGCGAGATCTATGCCCGCGCTACCTACTATTATTCTATATACAGGTTTTCTTTCAATAGAAGCCTTAGCTTTCCGTGCGACCTCGCCATTCATTAACACGAGAGATCCAGTCCCGAACCAGGGCCTCAAAAAGGCTAGGGTCGCCCGTAGGAAGACCATGCGTATCGCGATCGAGAACAGCATAGGTTGATCGCGGGTAGAGCTCTAGTAATCGAAGGCTGTCACGATAGCCCACGCCTGTGTCCTGCCGACCGCAGACGATAAGTGTGGGTGCAAAGAACTTTACCTCGTCCAACGAGAAAGACAGTGCGTATCGATTTGGATCTTCACGAATCGGGTCCAGAACGGCACTGTCTGCGGCCTCCATGGCTGGAGCATAAACTTCTTGATACTTTTTCTTCAAGGCTTCAACATACTCAGGCGTCTGGATCAGAATGCTGCCAAGGCTTTCCCTTTCCTCGGCTGGGATGCTGGACAAGAACTGCTCGTTTTCAATCAAAGGTTTGAAAGAATCGACATCGCGATTGCTGTCAGCTGGCTCGATAAGCGGCACCCGCAATAGCAAGCCGTCAACTTGGTCGGGGTATTTCTGGGCTACGGCGCGTGCAAGATAGGCGCCGCATGATGAGCCTGCCACGGCGAACCTTGAGCTACCAAGTCGAGAATCTATGAATTGCACAAGTCGATGGTACATCTCGTCCTGATTCTTGACACCGTTCGCCGGTGTTGCGCCCATGCCCGGGAGGTCCACGTAAATGCGGCGAAGCCCTGGTACTTTGCTGAAAACTGGCTCGAAATCTCGCTCCTCAACCTCCCCCCGCATCTCCCATCCGTGGACGATGAGGATTGGGAATCCCTCCCCGATTTCACGTGCAGACAAAAGAGAAGCCATGTTGTCTATGACTAGCGATTTTGAGAGATAATTCTGGAAATTATGACTTGCGAAGATGCATGAAGAAAAGCAGTTCAAAGGAGTTCCTGATCTTGTGCTGGTGGGGGGTTAAAATTGTGCCATCGCAGTCACACCATCACTCAATGCTGACAAATTAAGAGGATTTTTGTCCATCATTTGCAAGTCCAAAAGGACAGTTATGTGCGCGCCCTTCCTTTGACATGCGAAGCTCGAGGTCTCATCCTCATGTTAATTTTGCCTTCAGGGGACCCATACATAATCGCTCGTCAAGGCAATTCTTTAAAATCGCCCCCGCACCCCATCTTATCCGCTGGAGAGAAGGCTGAGGGCATAATGAGTGAAGCTCGCTCACGGCTTGTCTCCATGCTCAGCCGTGTCAAGTTTGTCAACCAACTTCATCACTTATGTTGCTTTACTCACCACAAACATCACCCATCCTATGAGGGAGCGATTAAGGATCGCTTAATTTCCCCAATCGCGTGGTTGTCTTACATGCACACGGCATACCCGCTCGCACATTGTTTATTTCGCGAAAGCTAAGGAGGCTGTTTTTGTGGATGATTAGTGATGTGGTTTCGGATGTACTTGAGCATAGGTATTCAAAGATGGAAAAGTAAAAGAAAAAAAGAGGTTCAGTAGAGTCACAAACGGGCCTATTACATTCAAGAAGTGATATGCATATTGAATGGTTATACCCCGAGGCTCGGTAGTTGTTTTCCGCCTACGGCTGAGATGTTCCTTGTGAGAAACGGCTAGTGGTTGGGCCACACGGTAAGAAGCCGTGATCAAATAACCGCTTTTCGTTACCCCAATGGACTTCCCAGTCCATTGTAAAAAGGGAGTTCTCCAGCGCCTTCCGGAAGTTGGTTTCCCAAATATCCCCATTCAATTCCCCCATATGAGACAGTATTGGCCACTTTTCCAGTGCCTCGCGTAGATATCTGGACACCCATAAGTTTTCATCTCATCAACATACTGTCGATCAATTTATGGATAAAAAACTCAGTAATACCTAAAGCCAACTCTTACACATCACAGAACCCAAGGACTATGTCATCAACAAGGTGGACAGGGCCTCTCATCAGACCAAGACAGAACACAATGAAGGCAGGACAGTACGTTAAAATTTAAACCATTTAATGCATCACCAAACTCACCCGGATCAGAATAAACCCCCAGAACTTGAAAGTTGAGATTAATGATGTGCCGATTCCGAAACCAAACGAGAATGAGATACTCGTTAAAATTCACTGCGCCTCTCTCTGTCACTCGGACATCATGATATTTGAGCCCAATGACGAGATGCAATACCCCGAAAAGGCAACCACGATGGGACACGAGGCTACGGGCCAAGTAATTGAAATGGGCTCCAATGTGAAGGGCTTTAAGAAAGGCGACAACATCGGCTTCCTCCCAGCGACAAATGTCTGTTTCGACTGCATCCCTTGTAAGCAAGTGTATGTATCCCCCAGCCCTCTTGCTATGCTATGTTATACTTAGTCCGCCTAGTCATAATATGTGGTGCGAGAAGAGCCAACCGGTGATGCAAGGCTTTGGCTCAGACGGATATTTTGCCGAATACGCGGTTGTTGATTACCGAAGCTCCATGGTCCTTCCAGAGAATCTTGACCCAGTTGCTGCAGCGCCCCTATTTTGCGCTGGAGTGACTGCATTTCACGCCATCGATGACCTCAAGCTTCCTGCTGGTAGCTGGGTAGCTATCGTCGGTTGTGGTGGGCTCGGTGCTTTGGCAGTTCAGTATGCGCGAGCAATGAAGTACCGGGTCATCGGGCTTGACATCGCAGCTACGGCGAGAGAGGAGGCAAAATCGTTAGGTGCCGAATACGTGTTCGACTCTGCAGCGGCGGATAACTATCTTGAGCGCGTTATTGAGATCACTGGTGGTGGCGTTGACGCGGCGGTCAACTTCACCGCGAGCAAGAGGGCATACAGTGCCATGCCTGCCATAATCCGCCCAGGTCGAGGCATCCTTATGGCTGTGGGAATTCCTGCCGAGCCCATTGAGCTGAACGCATACGACATCGCGCTGGGGAAATTCAGAGTCATGGGCTCCAACAACGGTACTGGCTACAACATGCGGGCTGCTATTGAGTTCAGCGCGAAACATAACATTTATTCTCGTCTGGAATACTTTACACTCGATGAGTTGCCGCTAATGGTGAAAAAGATGCAAAATCATGAGGCAAGGGGTCGTATGGCAGTCAAGTTTGGGAATTCAACTGGGAGTATCTCTGGGTCAAGAAATCGGTCTACTTCCAGATTGTAATTGAATAACTAGGAAGCCGCGTCCCTTGGTGTACACCTTGCGACAACAATAGATCAAATTAAACACACTTAAAATGGGGTTGAATTGCAGATTTACCTCAGTTGACTGTTGATGCCCGCATCATGTATAGATTGATCGAAGTCGAATCAAACTCTTCACTCAAACACACATTACAACTAAGATATTCATCCTGAACAACATAAAAGAGAATGATTCATCATTCTGAGATGTCGAAAAATCATAGAATAACTAAAACAACAGAAATCTTGGTTACTTTTCTCGGATGAAGGTAGCGGTGTGTACAATCGTTTCGCATCAAGATGTCCCAACGAAGACAACTAGGACGGCAGAAAATCTGTGAAAAGAGTATTTAGTATTAGTATAGAACTCTTTTCGTGCTGATTGCTATAGCTCAGAGATACCTACGCTGCTGTGGCACTGAAAATATCTTTTATGGCTGCCGGTGTAAAGACGCTCAGGGTGACCGAGAAAATCGCGGTAAAGGCAGCAATGACACCAAGTCTAGCTCCCTGATCCTTGACGAAGTACAGCACTACGATTCCCAAAATGGGAATCATGCAGGCTACCAAGGTCTTGGCTCCTCTTACAACTTTAATGGCGCCGTTATTCGTGTAGACGATAGTGTTTTTCATGTGTTGCTCGTCCGGCTCATCCTATTAGTTCAAATTATGATTAGAGAAAATATTCAACGGGCGCCGATGGTCTCTCAACTAAACATACATGAATGAACCGGCCAATGATGTTGTGGTATAGTTTGACGACTCGAATGGTTGAGCTAGATGTGTCGTCGCTTGTAGGCTGCTCCATTGTCATGAGTTCATTGAGCTTGGCATCCTTCCACAGCTCACTATCGCTACCTTTCAGATACATATTGCCTCTAGTCGGTCTTTGCATCCAATCATTGAGACTGTCGACCTGTCCTTGGGGGGGCTTGGGAAGATTCACGATCTGCCGGTGCAAAAGTAAAGCTTCGTCTTCGCGCAATTGCGTCAGCAACCTCAATACTATGCTCGCCCGGGAAAATTAGGAGGATGCTCTGGACTCACGATATTCTTTTATCATTGTTCGAGCTCGCAAAATTGTTTCCCATTGCCTTTTCCCATCGAAGTGCACTCTTTCAAGTTCGGGGCCGCTGTTATCGTCTAAATCGGACAAGTATGATTCGCGTAAGATTGAAGAGTTGAACTCATACGCGTTTCTCATTCCACCAGCATTTATATCCCTATCAGCCTCCTGAACTATCCTGAGGTGCGACTGAATCTCGTGCAGCTGGGCTTGATAGTGCAGCAGGCTTTCTGTAGACAAATCAAGAAAGCGGGAGAAAATAGCAACATCAGGAATGTCCCCCATAAACTTGGCTAATCGTGGATATCCCCCATAGCTATTGTCTCTCAGACGATTACCCTTCTCACTATCCTCGGCTCTGGCGCACATGTCGGTGAGAAGCTGATGTTTTAGTAACCAAGAACGAACGGTTGGTGGAAACAAGCTTGATGTCAACACGGTCCTTGCACCTTCGATCAGATAGTTGAGAGATGTCAGCACTACCAAGAAGAGGGAGAAAGGGCAATTAAAGTAAAGCCGAAAGTTCGCGGGTGAAATTCTAGGAGAATCTCCGCTTCATCGTTTCCAAGCTGTCTCTCCCACAGCCACGAAGCCTTATTATGCGGAGTTGGAAAGTGGTGGTGTGGCACCACTGCCAAGAGCCAATCATCACCCTTCATGCCTCACCCGGGATGGGATTTCTGGTTCGCATTGGTGCTGTCTGAGACACCGATATGCCTTACGAGGCAAAAAGCTGCACTTCGACAACCACTCATTGAAGGCCCGCCTGAACTGCTGACTGGAGTGAGCAAAGCCAGCACAGCACGTTGGGCACCAATACGCTACTGCTCGACAACATTTCAAAACTAAGGCAGGAAACACCTCCAAGTTTCAACAACTTAGATAGAGCCACGTCCTCTCTGCTTTTTCTTCCAGTCCTTATCTCATAAGATCGCGTTATCATTGCCTTGAACCAGTAAGGACGACACATTATCACCGTAAATTATTGAACGCCAAAGTATATCGTTCAAGGATCACCCGCTACCACCCTGTTGGGCTACAATGGCGTCTAACAACTGGTACTCGGAGAAGCGAAATAGCGAATACATGGCCGAATGGGAGGAAGATGAGCGCGATTTGGGCACTCAGCCTGAGCAACATAGAGATTATCGCGATGACGGACGTCAACCGACTTCACTCAGAGGCTCTAGGTCGTCTCAGCCAGCTCCGAGAAGTATCGTCCAGACCCCAGGCTATAATAGATTCGGCAATGCTCCCCCCATTGAGTATTCTACATTGCAACCTCATTATACGTATTATGGCAACCCTACTCAATACACCGCAGAGCCGGGTTCAGCACACAGATTGTCAGAGAGAAATAATCGACCCGATTTGCCCTCGGATGGGTACTACCCACATCGGATCAGTCGAGGATTGAGGCCTAGAACCCGAACAAGTGCCGAAAGAGGAGTAGATGTTCAGATTAACCCAATCAGCCAGATGGGTCTCCAGGATCGTGACCGTATGAGACAAAGTCCTATTCGGCAGGAACCCTACCCAAGAAGTCGTGGATCCAGAGAGTACCTTGATGCGAGTCCACTAGATGTAGGGGTTAGCCGGAGAACCCAAGACGGACAACCCCGACGAGGTATGAATGATTATGATTCTCCTTGGCAACATGAAGGTCGACCATTTAGAGCTCCGCCTGGCCAGCCATCATCAATGCAAGAACCCCATAGTTATAGCTCCTCCAATTCTCCATTTCAGAGGAGAAGCCTACGCCAATACCGGGGAGAGGACGAGGAAGAGATTAATGATACAAGCAGCCACTGGCACGAGTCTACCCCGCCCACACACCCTCGTCGCCCGATACTAGCAAGGGAAGACTTAAGACGTTACGACTCCGATCCAGCGGGGCGCAACCCCTTCTCAAGAGTAACCGCTCGGATTTCCAGCATGAACGAACCGCCGCCGCCGACTGCCAATTCGGGGGCTCCACTTTCAAGAGGCAGCCCAGCAATCAGAGTTGTTGATCGTGATGGCTATCATATGGAAGTAAGCTCTCTGCATGACACTGGCAATCAACTGGGTCACCTCGTCAGCGAGAGCGCCATCAATGACCTGAACTTGTGGGGTGAGGTGAATCGAAACATCATCCGGACTGGGACCACGTTAGCCGGAAGGCTAAAAACTCTCGGATCAATCGATCTAGACTACTATGTTGGAGATAACCGTAACTGTCTCACAGACACCTTCCATGTTTTTGACGATTATTACTATAAGGATCACGATATTCTGTTCTCTCCCGGGGCTGAAGATAACCATTCCGTTGGAATGGTAGCATTTGATAAATACGGGGAAACTGAAGGTACTGCTATTTCTTCTTCGTCTTCTTCTTCCTTACTTGCTTCTTCCTCCTTGGCCCTTTCTCCGGACTTCTGCAAGTTTTGTCGCTGTTACAAAGATTTGTCCCTATCATCATATTCGGCCCCTTCCATTCCGTGGCATTAACTTCCTAGAAATCGATGAGTATCCATGAGCCATGTTATCATTGCTACCAAGTTCAAACTATGTGGCTAATCTTAATTTCGCATTGATAGACGAGAGAGCAATGGAACGAGAAAGAGATTGGAGGAAAGAAGAAGAAAGAAGACGAGAAGCAGAGCAACTCCGGATTATGCGGCAGCAAAGGGAAGAGCAAGAGAGAAGAAATGAAGCAAGGAGGCGACGAGAAAGAGAACAGGCTAGAAGACTGAGAGAAGATTGAGACAACAATGGACACACCAGGGCGCACTCTATCCCAATGTAACCCTCGACGCGGTTTTTTAATAGATTACTTCCTGATCATTCTAAGAATAATTAACTAAACTACATACAAAGAAATGAACACGCTGGTACCGCGACAACGAGTACATGAAGGTGCCATCGGTCGTCTCTTGGACATATTTAATTAAAGGAGGGTAGAAAATGGTGAAGCAAAAAACAATGACCACATTTTGAGTGCTGAAGTTTGCAAATAATTTCTAGTTACTAGTGCCGGAAGAGAAAAACTCCTTAATAAAAGGAACCGATTTTACCGGCTGACCTCTCATATCCGAGTTGACGAGAAGTTCATGGCCAACCCCAGGAATATCGAGGTGAGTCGTGTTGGGAGCAGACTTCCTCAAAATTGACATGGCGTCTTTCATATACTTGATCGTGTTCTCTCCTTGAAGCAGCATGAGGTTCTGTCCACGGCTGTTCAAAGCCTGAAAGTTCTTTGAGTCCTGTATCATCCCCTCCACGACGGCAAAGTCATAGCGAATTATGTGTGCCATGTCCTTCAGCGTGCATTTTCCAAGATCCTCTCCGTTGGGTCCCTTGGGGCTTTTTCCAGATCGTCCACCGAGTGTGAATCCAATCCAGGCCAGGACATCCATAATCCTTCTTGGGATCCACGTGGGCCCCAGCTGCACGGTGTACATAGCTGTAACAAGAGCGCTCACTTCCCCTTTTGCAGCAAGATCACGCTCATATTGCCCAATTCCGTTGACGTCAAGTGATGGATTAACATCACTACAGATCAAAGGGGGCTCGAAGAGGATGATCCTTTGGATCTGGTTTATCCAAGGAAGACTCTCGGCGCTGAGCAAAGAGTGAAGAATTATCAAAGCGCCGGTTGAGACACCGATGAGATACGATGCCCCGGTACTTGCGACGAGAGACTCCAAATCAGAAATTTCCACTTCTAGCAGGGATGATTTAAAGATTGGCTGATAGGTTTCCCGATAGCTCCTTTCCCCGACGCGAATCATGTGGGAATTTTGATCTGGATCATCGCTGTCCTTGTGCTGAACAAGTGGACCGTCCTTGTCGAGAGACTCCGGATATGGATCAGACAGGCCGCGACACCTTCGAGATGGGAGATACACAGTATAGAATGGACTAAGCTGAAGCGCGAGCTCCTGATGGCTGAGCGCATAGCCGGCAGAGCCATGCAGGATGATGAGTCCTGGCCCATTTCCGATGCTGTAGTAACTCAAACGAGCGCCATCCTTTGTGACGATATAGTGGGAGGAAAGGGATTGCGCCATGACGGTCCTCTTGTGTAGTGAGGCTGTCGGGGTGAAAACAGTGAAGATAGGGTGTAAGATAACCGTTCGTCGTTCTGTCACTGAGCAAAATATATGCAGTCGTAATCAGACTCGTGTTGTCAAGGCAGGAGAAAGGTAAACGATCAACTGATAGCTTGTCTTGACCACAGCTAGCCGTTGAACTAGAGCAATTGGGCATAGGCTGGCGGGAGAGGTAACCGGCCAGACGAATGGCCACCATGTTGCCTGAATTATTTGTGCCAAGTTAACAGAAGAATACGTACCGGATTTTGGTAAAATCCGGGATGTGGAAGAGCCCAAATGACGATGAAAACAAAATTGATGACTGGATGGACAGGAACAGGCCCAAGCCCAAGTCCTCTGTCGTTGCGTCAATGCATTGGTGGCGGGTGTTCCGCTATATTCTAGGGAGGGATCACTTCACTAACGTCGCCACTGATTTTTAGCATAGAGGAGCCCTGGAGCTGGACGCGATGGTGGGGAGGCTGACTAATCACGCGACTGGCTGGCTCCTGCCCTGAGCTTGAACTTCGAACAGGCACCTGACTTCTGCCTGACCATCTCCAAGTCTGGGATTTTGCACCTTCAGCAATCAATCATCGTCTCTGAGATGGTCGCCCTGCGAATCCCCTCCCAAATGAAGCAGAAAGCTAACCCGGAATCTGCAGCCTTTCAGACTCTCCCTCATTTCAGACCCGCTTGAACTCCAAGCTACCCGCACCCCACCGCACCCATGGTAGCAAGGGTAGGTGAGGAGCGAGGCCTGTTGGCCAGGCTGCCGACGGAGCTCATCCTCAACCTCTACGACGAACTCGAACCCTCTTCCCATTTTGCGCTCGCCACGACATGCAAGCTCCTCTACGCTCGATCAACGCCCATCCTCGAAATCCACCGGAATGCTCATCGGCACAATCGCGTCATCTCCGATTGCTCGCTTGAGCTTCTCGTACGCGTGTATCGCAGCGCGCAGGCATCTGTTGGTTCTAAAGCCATCGAAGCATGGCACGTCAGGAAGTTTGAAATATGGGGATCTAGAGAAACATGGGACGAGTGGAAAAGTTGGGAGATTGATGCTGATGGAAGTGTCTCCCTTGCCGCCCACGAAGATCCGCTGCCCTCACCTTTCGGCCCTCGCGAGGTGGCTGATCATATCAAGGAGAGGGAACTGATGTTTCACCCCACTAATGATCATGAGATCATCGCATACGCCTTTGAAGATGGAGAAGATGGCTATTTCAAGGCAATGATAGTTTCCATGTTACCGCGACTAAATGACCTTGTGTTTGTTAGCCATCACGTTTCCAAGCAGATGCTTACCCTGAATTGGTTGGAGCAAATGATCCAATGGAGCTTGGATTGCGGTTTTCCTTGGCCACCTGGATTCAACTCCCTTCGCAAGGTATCTGTCGGAGTCCCCGTTTTCGATCGTCCTGAGATTGAAGCTGTGTCACGCTCTATGAGCCTCTGTACTCTACTGCGCCTTCCCTCTATTGAAGAGATCTACTACCGCAATTTGTCTTCAGGTGAACCGGATGAATCCGATGGGGGGTGGTTACTTCCCCTTGAAACTTCGACCGTCAGAACCCTAGTTCTTGACAGAATCAGAGAAGACAATACCAACCTCCGAGGGGCACTGGTCCACACGTCGATCGGCCTTGACGCAATGGTCATCCGTGCACAAAGCGGGGAGCCACTGGACTTGGTGAATACATTCCCCGAAGAGCTCAGCTCTTCGGTTTCCCAACGGTCTCTTCGCCAGTTCCTCCTGTATCAACCAGATTGCATGTTCGGCTACCACTGTCGCAACTACGAGCTGAGCGAGTTGTCGTCAATGCGAAACATCCGCATGATACAACTTTGTGTTGAGGACCTTCTGATGGAGTGCTTCTGCCTGCTCAATGGTGCTTGTTGTAATGATACCGAGATGGAGTATTATTTCGATCAAGATCCGTTCGACCGTGACAATGACGAGAGTGTTCTCCCTGAGAGAGCTCCACTACCCGACATGCCAGAGATGGACTGGAAGACGACAGGCGACCGCTCTGCTGACGGGGCTGTAAAGCATGACGACGTGGTAACTCACTTTACTAAGTGCCTACCGCCTACTCTCGAAGTTTTACTTCTTTGGGGATTGGAGGATGAGGTCTGGTATAACCGAGGGGATTACGAGGTGAATGAGGCTTTAGACGATGCTGTTGTGGCGCTAATCAATTCGCGGTCATTCCCAAACCTGAGGGCCATCTACCTCGAACAAGTCGAGAAGCAAGCTCCTATACCCAGAACCAAAATCTCTTTTCAAAAAACAATGATAGCTGCAAAGGGTCGGGGTGTTTATGTCCGCACATTGTCGAACCAGCACGAACCGATTCCCGAGCTTGGTTTTCCCAGAATGCCAGACAAGTATGATCTCGAGACCGGACCATTTCCAGCCAGGGATCCCACGTGGATTTTTGATCCTTTTACGGGGTCTTGGACAGCCCCGGGGTGCGGCGGTTGTGGGAGCTGTGAGACATGTTTACGGTATTACACGAAAGAGGCATGGGAAGAGTTTAGGCGTCAAAAATCTGACGGAAGCACGGTGTCTGATCGAGATGATGGGATGGGATTTTCATGATGAAAATTTGTTAGCAAGGCGTCGCATTTGTGAGTTTCAAATCACCATGTACGCTTAATAAGGTAGTCAAAGTTAGGACGAATTTCGTTTGCCAAACAGCCAGTAATACAAAATTAATGCGAGGCTGTGGATTTGCAAAGAGGTCGCCAAGAATAAAACTGATGGGAGAGCGATCGCCACCAGATATAACTGCGGTACACGTAACATCGCGATTGAGGCAATAATACTCAGTTACATGAGCCGACACAATAGTTGTTGAAAACAGCACGGTTAACATCTAGATGTCTCTTCTAGCAGGCTCTCCACTTGGTATTCTGATATGTCAAACCCCTCAGACCACTGGGGATCTTGTTTCCAAAAGTCCTATCGAATCACTCCCATCCAGACTGTGAACGGCACGGCTTCACCTCTATCGTTCCTTGGGTGACCTAGAACGGCACACAATCCTTGTGGTCCTCATACCCTCGAAGCATATCCAGACAAGATGTCTCGATAATTTTGAGGTCAGTCTTAGTATAGATCAGTGAGAACGGTTGCTCGTGCCAATCAGTGACATTCAGTAATATCGAAAAGTGAACGAACGGATGTTGTCTTCGGGTAGTTTAGTAGTGGAAGCCTTGGTTGGCATAGCTGAAATAAACGTCAGTATAGACTCATTGAAGGCCACTGTCAAGGGCCCAATGGTCCAAAGAGATCTTTGTGCGATTGTCTAAGCGGTTAGCCTGAGCAATGAAGTGGTTTCAAATCATAGATTTTCAAAGTGATGTGTTGGGGGAAAAACGAACAACACCACGGCTTGTTTGCGGGTTTGAAATGCAGACTGCCAACCACACCAAAATCTAACAACCTTCCACAACAGCTATGAAAAGGAGGTTTTGAGTATTATGTGTATTCTCATTTGATCAAATGGTTCGTGTTTGCGGCTAGTCAATTGACCTAACGTAGCTGCTGTGACGCTGTTAAAAGAAACATCTTTTATAAGAAGGGTTTTTTAAAAGTGAAAATAAGAAGGGTTTTTTAAAGTGAAAATAAGAAGGGGTGAAAAGGATGTCTTTTTCTATGGATGATGAAAATAGCTAATTTATCTAACCCGGCCGAAATGACAAGTGGGCCCCGACTCAGTGAGAGTCAGTATGACTTTTCTAGATTCAACGTCGAGGTACTAAAATTCACGGAACTAAGTTCGCCTGCCCTAGACTTTGCTGGACATCTTTCACAGTGCAAAAGTCCTGGAACGGCTAGCAGACTCATGACTTATCTCAAATCAGACACAATTCATTGTCACCATCTTTTATGATTCTCTGAAATCTAACAAGGGATGACCTGTTGATACTTAAATAACTCCATAGCCTATATATTGAATTAAATAGCTACACTGAACCTACTCATAAGTAGAGCCGGGAAAATCACACCGGGTTGACGAATTCCCAGTGACAGGAAGTTAGTCCAGATAATATGGTAAATATGGAGTATTTTGGTAATTGCTTGGACAATAATACCTGAGGTTCACTTTCGTTAAACTCGATATACTAGTGAGACTGGATCAAGTAATCTCCTTCAGATGCATGATGACGAAAAAATCAGTGCCACCACAAGTCCCAACTTTAAAAGTCTGAGGGTATATGGAGACTACCATCACGCCGAATCTCATGACCGGTACAGCTCCCTGAAGCACTCCAGTTGCATACCCGAAGCTTGCACACTGGCTGTGAAGCATGGCGAATTTCTTATTGGAGGAATATTGCTGGTTGATTACGGCCCACATTATGTTCTCCGGACGATGATGATGCCTGTCAATTACATTCTCCCCTCTCCACGCCAAGCTTTGAAACCCCTTGAACGAGCTAATGATGACTTCAGGCTAAACTTTAACCACGAGAAGCGACGGGACGATTGAGAAAACGTGCGACTCCCTGTTACCGACAGCCTGGACCCTGTATGAACACTTTGTTGAGGCACGTAGATAAATGCAGCCCGGTGCCTTGAAAATGAACAGCTTCATCTGTGATAATTCGGTCACAGACCAGAACTGTATCTGACCAAGTTCACAAGATGGTTTCCACTACTTTCATAGCTGCGGCAGGCATTGCAATCAGCAGTATAGCCCAGGCTCGACATATCCCAGAGCGCCCCAACATTGTGCCCACGCCTATTCAACCTTTTAAGCCGTTCCCAACCTCAGCTCCGCGAACGAAATCATGCTTCGTGAAGCCGAGCTGCACGCCCGGACGGGACGATGCACCAAAGATTCTCGCAGCCATTGAGGAGTGCAACAATGGCGGCACGGTCGTGCTGGATAAAGAGTACACCATCTGCAGCCCACTTGACCTGCGCTTCCTCAAGCATATTGACATTGCCCTCACTGGCACAGTCAAGTTCTGCGAGGATATCGAGAAATGGGTGCCAACCTTTTTCAACTTCCCATTCCAAGACCAGGGGACCTGGTGGCTGTGGGGAGGAGAGGACATCAACCTGTACGGAGCCGGCACGGGGACCATTGATGGCAATGGACAGGTTTGGTATGATGAACATGCTGCCTCTAATGTCCAACGGCCTTTGCTTTTCGTCACCGACGGGTGGATTGGGGGATCTATCACTGGTCTGAAGCTGCGGAATTCTCCCCAGGTAAGAGACGCTACTCAGCTCAAGGCGTATCGATGTTAGGGAAGCTAATCGTGAACAAAAGTGGCACAATCTCATCGCCAACAGCTCGGATCTTCTCATCTCTGACATCGATATCTACTCCCGATCCACGTCTGAACACGAGGCCAAGAATCTCGACGGCTGGGACACCTACCGATCTGACAACATCGTTATCCAAAACTCGTATATTGAGCACGACGATGACTGCGTCTCTTTCAAGCCCAACAGCACCAACATTGTCGTTCAAGGTCTCGTCTGTAACTCCTCGCACGGCATATCAGTGGGCTCCCTCGCTCAGTACCCGGGTGTTTTCGACGTCATCGAGAACCTGTACATCTACAACAACACACTCAGTAACGCCACAGACAGCGCGCGCATCAAGATCTGGGCCGGCGAGCATGCCGTCACAAAGCCCGGGTGGATTGGCGGAGGCGGCACGGGCCATGTCCTCAATGTGACTTATGATGGGTTCCACGTGAAGGGGAACGATGCAGTCCTCAAGATCGATCAGTGCTATGGAACTGTCAATGCTTCGACGTGCGAGGAGAATCCTTCCCAGATGATCATCGAGGATGTCGTTTTCAAGAATTTCTGGGGTACCACGTCGAAGAAGGGAGACCCAGTTGTGGGCTCGCTCATTTGCAGCGACGATCAGGTCAGTAATTTCAAGCAAATAAGCTTCGCCATTGTTTGTTTCAAGTCCACGGCTAACTATTGCCCAGAGCTGTCGCAACGTACGAGCCGAGAACGTCAATGTGTCAACCCCAAGTGGGAAGACTCCTCAATGGCAGGTTCGATTCATCAACACGGAGCTGCTGGATGTTGTGGGAGATATTGTGGATGGCTAAATAGTCGTGTGCTGAAGAAAGCGTGGTGGAAATAGAACCTCAAACAACGAAAACAAACCTTGGTGGGTGGAAATAAAATATGCAAGCTGCCCTGTTCTAGTTCACTTCTTGTGAGGGACCTCGTGTACTTTGAACCTACCAAACTCAGCCGTCTGATTCCCCAGACTGGCTCAATGGGAAAACCGCTTAGAAGTCGTGTGACCCTTGGGTAGGATTGACGTTGCCGCCCGGTAATATCTTATCTCCGCTGGGCATGTCGCCTTTTGGCGGTGTGGGTTGAATCGTGCTGACGGTCGCCCTCGCTAGGATGATCTCTTGGCACGTAGTGAATCCACATCGTGAACATTTTCCATTAATCAAAGCAAACGGATGCGACAGGCGACTTGAAGATCCAGCGTCCCGCGCCATGGAACTCAAAGACTTCCCAAATGAGACTCTAGATCTCATCATCAGTCATCTCTTCGAATTTGCTGATAAGTACGACTCCGATGCTCAAAACCCAGAGCATCTCGCCAATGCTCGCCTTGTGTGTCAGCAATGGAATGAGCTGGCCTCACGGCATCTCTTCTCCTCAATTCACCTACGTCACAGGTCTGGAGCGTTCGAAAAGTGGAATACAATGCTTGATAACGAAACGATACGATCGAGCGTCAGGCAGGTCCATATCGATAGCAGTCCCCCGTTCGAAGACGACTACGAGGACGAGTGCGACTGGGATCTATGGGTTCGATGGCAGGATGAGGGGGAATACCCAGAATTCATAGATTCTCTTAATCGCATAGGTGAACTGCGGAATTTGACATCGCTTGTCTTGCACTTTGGCAGAGCATGTCGCACCGGAGAGTATGACTTCGATTCGGAAGCAAGCGAACCCCTTTCCAGTCGGAAGCGCACTCTCCATGCCGTCTTTGATGCCATGGCTAAGCGCACGAACGAGTCTCCTGGTGCCACTACCATTCGGTCTCTTACTATCGAGAATCTTCAAAACTTCGTGTTGGACGATTTCACTGGTTCTGATGCGTTTGAGCAGGTAATGCAGGGCCTGAAGGGCCTACATGTTCTAGTCGCTGATGAGGAAAACGCCTTGGACGAAGAGCGTGAGGCCGACTTGTATCGCCCTGAGCGTCAAAACTTCGAGCCCCATCTCCGTCAAGCCTGGCTTGATCCCATTGCCGAGCAGCTCACTTCCCTTTCGCTGCTCTTCCATTGTGGCTGGGGTGTCATGCCTGGCAAATTCGACACCAGCGGCCTCAGCTTTCCCAACCTCAGGACCCTACACTTGGGGGCTTATATCATCGCTCACCACAACCAGCTTGACTGGGTATTGAGACAAACAACCTTGCACACTCTGCGTCTTGAGAGGTGTGCTATTGCCTCACATCTTCGAATTGGTGGTGGCCACAGACAGCTTTGGGATATACAGGATACGGACTGGGTAAAGCATCCGAGAGGGGCGTTCGGTTTCAATAGTGAAGATGATGAAATCTACACCTTCGAGGGCACATGGGCGGACGTCTTCAAAGCGATTCGTGAGTCGCTTCCCAACTTATTAGACTTTAGATTTTCCCGGTTCCTTGGTTCCTTTTCCCTCGATCGGCCAGATCTGATGGAGAATGAGCAGCCGCATCCGGCTCGCTATTTTACCTTCGATACCGGATACTGTTCGGGTTGGATTGACGACGTGATCCAATCGACCTTCGACATTGACGACCCTGAGCCAATTGACATAGGTTCTGGCCCAACCCTATACATCAAAAAGCGAAGAACAGACCGAGGGGTAAAAACATATGAGGAAGATCTGCGGGCACTGGAGGATCTGGTGGCTTCAACGAGAAGGAACCGCTCTTGCTGAGTGTGCTTGCTCTACTTTTATGTTGGTCATAAGATTGTATTAGGTTTTATTTGTCCTTGAGATCAAGTATTCATTTGAAATCCGATTTACACAATACCGGGACCTGTAGTCATTTATTACCCATAATATCAACCACTATCTCCTTAAATGATTTCAACTCTTGAGGCTCTCAAGTCCGCAAACAGCTTTGAGTCCCATAACGAACACATTCCAACGCGGCTATATCTGTTATCATATCCATTCTCCTTCTCCAGAATGAGTCCCCAGTGTTGTATGAGAGGCGGTGTGTAGTATTCGCCATTAGCTAAATGAACGAAATATATTGGTTCTGACATGGCGAGTGCATCCCGGTCGTCATCAAACTCGACCCAGCCATATGGCTCCTCACCTTTAGAACCTACAGCGTAACCTTGTATAACGGGTTGTCGGTATGTGGCATTTCCATTCTGTCCCATAAGGTCCTTGGTGCCGTTTCGTCGCATCAGATGCAAGATGAGATGGCTGATATCTGCCACCTTCCCTTCTATGGTCAAGGCGCCACTCGTGCTACTTACTCCGAGCACTTTGCAACATTGGGAGAAATCATCCTGCCTAAGGTTGTCAAAATCTCGGAATCGAAGCCAGACAGGACCGGCACAGGATGCCCATGACCACGATGGACAACGTGGATTCTTCTTCCCAGTTCGATAAGACGCCCAAAGGATGTACTCCGGGATGTCAGCCAGCCAGGTTCCGTAGAAATACTCGCCGACATTGCAACTATTGTTCTTGACTTTACTAAGCTCCTTCGCCAAGCCGTCCAGCGATCGCAGACGATCTTTCTCAAAGGTAAATGCCCGCTGAGAGTGTTCCAAAATGATTTTACCCCATTCGGTGCTCCAATCACGCTCAGTTAGCCGGCCGTGAATCATCTGCCCGTTTTCATCTTCTGCTTTATCTCTGCATACCCACAGCATACCCTCTGTTAGAAAATGCACAACGCGACGTGACAGAATCAGTTCTTGCGTACACCATCCTCTTGTTGCCAACGGGGTCCAGTGAGGATGCAAATAAGTCATGAATGGCTCCTGTCGCCAATCGATCCCGACCGAGTAGCTGCCGAGCGTCGTTTGGCGCCTGCTGTCTGACTCTGCTGTAAGAAGCGGAAGCTGCACTGATGGAAACTTTATATGAGCATATGGCCGCTCAAGAAATAAACCGCGTGTCGAATCAATAGCATCTGAAGCGGCGAGCGTAAGTACTGCATGCTCGTACACTGTTCCCATCATCTGCGATTCCTTCTCCCATTCATCCTCATCATCTTGCACGATGCAGAGAGAATCGATCCAAAGAAAGCGTAGCCCTAGCGATCTGCAAACCGCGACGGCATCTGCAAACGTCCTGGGCATCGACGACAGAGGAATACCCTTGAGATGCCGGGCCAAAGTCCGTCGAGTGGTCTTTAACGGATGGTTCTTTTCTTTCCCCCAGCAATGACTAAGTGCGACCCATTGTCCTACTGTCTGTCCTTCATTTTCAACTAGATGAGGATCTTGGTTGGGGCTGTCAAGTCCTACGTCAATCACTCGACTTGGCATGACATGAAGCTCGTCTTCCGGAATAACTTGGCGTGATACTGTTCGTCTGCAACATTCACCGTGGCGGGAGCGGCACCCACTGAACCATTCTCCGATCAGAGCCATCGCGTCCGGAGATCCAGAGTTGTGTAGTGGCTGTCGTGTAGAAATGAATGGCTGTAACGCCGAATCTAGGATTCTGTCAACGTCGGCGCGACCAAAGTAAATCGCGAAAAGACTTACTATTCTGTGCCGCTAACACACTTAAACGAGTAAAGACAACAGCTTGAGCCTCTCCTGTCAACATTCTTTTTGGTTTTTGCCAGATAACACGGATATTTCCAAGAACAGACTTAGAAAAACCACTTTTGATGTAACCGCCCATCGGATACGGTTCTACCATCAAGTAAATTGCATCTTCACTAGCCTGCAATCCTTCAATAATGTTAGTAACATCAGGCCCGCCCGATCCACGGTTGTATTGCATCAAAATTTCTCCCAGCGGCGTTTTCGTCTTATCATATGGATAACCGCGCCTTCGATTCGAGTCCAGAACGATGGCCAGTTTGAGCAATTCGCAAAATCGGCACTTCTTGGCTGACTTGAGCAGATCTCGAGCAGGCCGATGATGCTTAAAGGCATTGCTTGGTCGAGGTGTGGTTGGGTCAACACGTTCTGGAGGGAGGAGACGATAGCCATCCGAGAGAGCAGCCAGGCGATCTTTTGCGAAATTTCGCTCCGGCCACTGTAGTAATTCATCAAACGTTGGCTTTCTTATCCATGATGAGAGCTGCGATGAGAATGACTGGCAGACATGGCATAACTTGGTGCGGGAGGCGAGCAAGCTACACACATCATCAACTAGCGACGGTGTGCTGGTGAATGGTATGCGCGCGTCTCTGATCGCCAAGGAAAGTTGATTCTTGTCCGAACCAGAATCAGACTTCGAAACCGTTTTCGCGTCATGGATAGACGCTCGCAACGTGCTGAGAACATGCATCTTTATCCTCGCATGTCGTACCTCCCTGTTCGCTTCCGTCACTACCGGTTGTAACTAGTGATCCTTTTTGTATAGATCAAAATGGAGGAACACACTTTAGTACGTATTTGGGCGTGGAAGATGTCTCAATAATACCAGGCAATGTATTGTTCGTATATGCATGAGAAGTGAGTGATATCTGCCTTGCTGCGCCTCCACGGCACATTCACATCAGATCTACCCCACTCCATCTGCCAGACAGACCATATCCCATGTGCCCTCATGGCTCCCTGCTTTGCTCTGTGAGCTTGAATTCTGGAGACATCTGTGATGCATCTCCTCAGCTCCTCAGCCCATCAGCCCGTTCATCCGCCTCATGCAAAGCCTCACAATTGTGTCTTTCAGTTGCCAACCCTCCATCTTCGGCAAATGATACTGATTTTCTAGCAACTCTGATTCTCATTTAGGCTATTTCTTGTATATTTCTAAACACACAAGGTCGAAAATCTGCGAACCATAGAACGACATCGCGAGTCTCACGATTCCTCGTCCCTCGCCTCCATCAAGTCATTCGGTAAAAGAGCCACGCTGATCACGCATCCCAGAGTAACGCCACCAGCAAGATACAAGACGCTGTTTATATCACCATCACCATTCCCATTTTCCGCCCGGCCGTATAAATGCTGTGCAATCAAAGGGCTCACAATCCCAGCCAGTCTTCCCCAGAAGCTCGCAACCCCACATGCTGTTCCACGCACAGCTGCCGGGAAAGCTTGCGGCGTCCAGCCGTACAGCACCGCGTTGAACATGGACTGGAAGAAGTACTCCATGGCAAACATGCCCTCGTTCTTAGCCACAGTGTCAACGATGGAGAATAGGAAGATGGAAACTCCCATGAGCCCGGCCGAGAACATCATGGTCCATTTACGGCCGATGGACGGTATTCGATACATGGCGGCGCCAGCGAGGACGCCGATTATCCCTGGGGAGTAAGTATAAACGTAGGCAGTATATGTCGATCTTAGGCTGACGGATGCTGCGCCGTTCTTCAGAGCCAAGATGCGAGGCAAGTAGAGGCCTAGAAATTTACCAATGTTAGCCACGGACCATTCTATAGGTTCGAGTGCATATCCTGACCTGCCACCGTGAACCCCCAGAAATCCATGATGTAGGTCAACCAAGTGAAGATGGTCAGCCGTGTCATCCTAAGACTGCTGAAGAGCATCCGGTATCGAGACGTCTCGTGGACCAAGCCCTCTTTCCAGGAAGCTTTCGTCTCAATTAATCCCCTCAACTGGGGATCACTGCCAAAAGAGTCTTGACTTGTCTCGTCCAGCGCAGTCAAATCCTCAAGCCTCAGCTCGGATACTTGGCCATTCATTTTGGCCATCGCTTGGATCGTTCGAATCGCCGCGGCATCTCGGCCTTGGTAAATCAGAAACTTGGGCGATTCGTGGAATTTGAAGACGAAGAATCGGACGAAGAAGACGAGGATGGTGATGGCCCCGAGTGTAAACAGCAGATATCTCCAACCCATATTGGTCGATCGAGTGCAACATTTGACGTCCTCGGATGAAACTGCTACACAGGAAGGCAGCGATCCCTCTTCCGAGAAGTTCGGGGAGCAAGAATATGTCGGAATGAAGGCGAGCGCAACGACGCTGCTTATGATGACACCGATGGGTTGGAATACCGAGAGGCAAGCAAGGAGATATCTTCTATTCTACACAGAAAAGAGCGTTAGGTTTGTTCTTGTCCTGGAAAAGAGTTGAAATCAGGGGAGTTTTGTGCTACCTGAGGAAGGAATTCAAGTGTTATAGTCGTATCAATAGGCACCTAGTATTGAATGTCAGTGTCAAATGCAGTTTTCTGAGGGTAGCAGATGCACTCACATTTCCGCCCACTCCAAAGCCTACAAAGGCTGTCAAGACGAGGAATGTGGTGTAGTTATTCGATGCACCAAGGCACAGCCCGAACAAGGAGGAGATGAGACATGTCAGGTTGAATGCCCATCGACGTCCTAACTCCAGAAAAGGTTAAAATTATCCAGTGAAAAGGATTCATTCGAGCAGGATTGTTAATGTTCACCAATCACGTCCGACAGGTATCCCCACACGAAAGCTCCTGCAGTTAATCCAGCGTTGAAGCTTGTGCTGATGTTGCCCGACTGGCCGTTGCCGAATCCCAACTCTTGCTGTAGAGGACTGAGAACGAGAGCGAAAGCATGCGCCCATATCAAGTCGACCATGTAGCCGAATCCGCATAATCCCCAAATGTACCATTGATACTTGCCCATGCCCTGGCGGTCAATCTCCTGGTTCACGAGTCTGCATTTCTTCTCCTGGATTGTGCGGCTGTTCAGCCGGAGCGACTCCAAGCTCGAGCGTTGGCTACGATTTTCAATGCCCTCTGCCTGGGATGGGGAGCTCGTCATCTTCCTATCCCCCCCAGGGTCTGGTCCGGTGTGTGTCATGATTGTCTCGCTCTGCCCTCCTGTGGGAACACAACGTACAGCCGGGGTTAGTTCAACGGCTGTCACGACAGGTATGCAACAGCGTCGTGGAGAATGAGATGACGGAGGTCAGCATAATATGACTTGGGGAAATGAGCGGTTAAACGTTTGGGGGAGCAGTGGCATAAAGAATGACATGTGACTTTGAGTCGTCTATGTCACCACTCGATAAGCTTTCGTTTTGATTGGTGATGGTTGGCCATAACTTTGAAAATGCGACACGTCAGTCCCCATTGGGAAATGCAACTCGCCGTAAACAACCATATTTGTCATAAGCAAATAAAGTTCGGGTTCTGCCGTTTGCAACATTCATGTCAGACACTGAGATGAGACACCCCTGAATTTACTGGACGGCCAGTTATATCATGGACCATTTTCTTGATGAATACGGCGTTCTAGAAGGTTTTGATAAATGAGTATGATTTAAATACCAGGTCAATTCCTACCTTTGATCTGTAGTGTCACAGATGCGTTACTCAATGACGATGTTGCATCATATGACCGTGCTTGGTGACGACCTTGTAGTCACGTGTGCCCGATCACCAGCCTCCTCCCTTATGCCATCGCTGAGATTGGTTGCATCATGGCTGGTTAGGTAGCACCCCGAAAATGTACACTCAGAGCCAAGCTGCGTTTACTCTCGGCACGCTGTAGAATATTTTGAAAGTCAAAGCGTTGACCATGTACGTGTACGACTCCTTTTAAATAATGCAAATAAAAAAGGTATAATGAATTACTTTCATTATTTATGAAATCATCTAGTCAGCCACCAAGATTTCAAATGGATTCCGTGGAAGGGTTCCTAGGTTTTACGACAAGACATCTTACGCAAGTCTAAGGTCACATATTTGCGTCTAGATGTATTCCTTAATGCTTTCGCCATACTTAGCTTAAACCCGCTTTACGAAGCACATCTCTTTGAAGTTCTTTAAAGGACACCCAGACCCAAAGTCTCCTCGGCTATCTTCAATCTAATCCTCAGTGTTTCTGTCCTCCTGAGAGCTGCACCCCGCTCTAGAGCGAAGACGAACCCATTACCGGCACCCATCTTATTCTCTAGACCCTCTCATTCGTCGAAGGGGCGGAGATGATTGTAAACTAGGATGCTTATCCTATTTACAAGACCGGCTTCAAAATAGTCTACCACGCAAACATGTTGCCTGTAAGATATCCATCCACATACCGGTATATTCATCTTACCCCATCCCATGCTACTACATAGCTCACTAGATTAAGTCATCCTCTTAGCTCTTGACTTTAGCCTTGCCCAGAGCCCTTTCCGGGAGGTGGAGGCCGCCTCAGATAAGTCTTTCTCCATTGTGCGGTGCATTGGACACTCCCGCGGTAGCCTACTCCCTTGCGACTCGAAGAAGAACTTTGAAACCTCAAACTCATGGTCGGATCCAGGGCCAACGCAAAGTCTCGTTGTTTTGGATGACTCTAACTGAGGCCAGCATTCTTCACACCAGCTGCAGCCTGGATATTCGGTGGACTGCTTGGCATGCGATGCGTACACAATCTGGCCACAGAGCTTGTTGGAACAAAAGAGTGTACTCTCCACGGAGGGCCAGTCGGTACGGAAATTCTGGCTGCCCGTCTTCAGACCGTTTGCAGTACTTTGGAGTCCCAAACTGGAACAAATCTCGTTACATCTGTGACTGACAAAGAAAAATTTGATTCCTGCCATATTGCAGTTCGTAGCCGACAGCTTGAATCTCTCCAAATCATAGGTATGAATCGCTGGGTCGGTAAGCAAGTTGTTCACACCCTGCAGGTCACATACAAGGAATTCCCCAAGTGAGCGTTCATACGTGAAATGAGAGAAAGCCTGGCAAGCCTTGAATATGTCGTTATCTTCCAGGTCGTCAGGTAGCCATCCATTATTGCCGTTGTACTTGACATAGTGGCCCGGAATAAAGGGCTCGAGAGACAAACAGTCAGCATCGCTCGTCACTTTGTCTCTCCCCTCGAAGCATATGGTCACAATGAAATTCAGGCTGAACCTGTATCCCACGAGGCCATTGAACTCCAGGGCGAATGCGCGGCAGAGCGCTTGACATCGCATGTCTTCAACGAGATGGACCATCTTTGTGGAGCTCTTGAGCGGCGATTTGACTACAAACCGGTCAGTCGAAGCTTCGGTGCGAGCATAAGATGCCTGGCGAGTTGCTCCATTTGAGAATGGCTTGGACCGCCATCGAAGTGAGAGTTCCACAGGACTCATGATGATATTATCATCGGAGGCCATCATGTCGTTGAGAGTCTGGAATCCGTGAACTATTACAGTCGGGGAGAAGCCCTCAACATTGACCTTCTCGCCAAACCAACTCAAAGAGTCCCATTTGGGTGGTGAGGTTTCCAGCGATATCTTGATGTCGTCCAATCCTTCATTTTCCTCTTCCACTAAGGTTAGGCGTGGATCTCGACCTTTGGCAGTGGCTCTAGCCACAGGGGCCCTACGGTTTGCCAGGTATGTGGCAGTGAGGGACGCCGAACTCGTCACACTCTGGACAATCAGATGTCGGAGAGCACTGTAAGTAGTGCCCAACTCCAACTCTTGAAACTGGATCCCCTTTTTACCGGAGACCAGTTGTCCTGGATGGTGGGATCCAGTATTCAACGTCCCTTTGTCCATCGACAGCGGGTAGTAGCCATTTGACTTGTGCAACCGACACACGGTTGCGGCAGGCTTATATTCCTGCATGAAGAGATCCGCCATCTTATCAGTGTATTCTCCCGTGCGGATTAAGGCATAATTTATACGGAGTTCTGTCAGTTTCCGAATCAATGGCTTATAAGTGAGCCGGTGAGGCTCGCTTCCAGGCTCAGGGTACGTGTCGTCATCCGAATCGTGGAAAATCCGTCCATGCGGCGGTGAATCCGCAATGTGTATCATGCAGCGTGTGTAGGCTCTCCAGCTCGCGTTGATGGCCTGCTGGATACCACCAAGGACGTCTTCTGGGGGATCTCCTCCGCCTTCCGCATACAGATTCTCAAGGAATGCGCGTGCCGCATCGGCGTCGGGAGTGAAATCTAACCACTGAATGTTCGGCTCATCCCCGTGGTCCTTGTAGCTGACGATGGAAATCCGCACCTCAGCCTCACCAAAAAAAGCCTCCCTGATCTCGTCGATGATGCTTCGGACCTGTGCCTTGGCCTCGTTCATATAAGGATCCATGGAGGACGTCGTGTCCATGAGAAAGAGCAGGTCAGTCGACGAGGCCTTCTTGAAGAACCCATCCGTACCACTTTTCGACACTTTCAACCCCTCGCGATAGGCCTCAGTTTTCAATCTCTCAACACTGGCCTTGGTACGAGACGCTACTAGCTCTGTGGCGGCGCCCTCCTTTTTGAGTCGCTCTACGACGCCTTTTCCATATGCGACATCCCGAAGTAGCTTGTCTCGCTCTAGTTCTACTTCTCGGAGTCGTTCGCGGGTTTTTGATGTCGTACTTGAAGAAACAGACGCTCTGCTAGAATCCTCCTTCTGGGTATGCGAATAGCGACTACTGTCGAAGCGAGATGAAGATCCCCTGGCGGATGACTCTCTACGTTCGCGAGGTGCGTTCGATTTCGGCAAAAGATCCGCAAAGGATCCAGTGTGCCCAGATGTGGCGCGTGAACGTGACACGGAAGACGACGTTGTATGCGTAGGTGCGAAATTGTCACCTGCTCGACGAGAATCTCGTTTTGCTCGCCCGGTACTGAACGCTGCGGTATCACGACGAAATCCCGAGGTCTCTGAAGGGGGCTTAGACCCATTCTTTGTTTGGCTGATTGATGAATCCAGCAACGAATCGGCCAGGGATTCAAGGTCTTGCTGCGAGTCGCCACGAATGGTAGACGCAGCTGTAAATGTGTGTCTCGGAGGGCTCATCTTGGCTACCACAAATGCTATCTTTGATAAAGCAAGTTCACCGATTTGGAAAAGATACAAATTCTTCAAAGAAACACAAAAGCTAGATGGCCCAAGAATGAAATTGAGAAACAGTGCGGTTTCTATTTCTTGAGGTTGTTGAGAGAATGGCTTTTGCTCGTCGTCCATGAGCGGCCTTGGTCTTATTACAGACCCAAAAGAAGAAGAATATTAACCGCACATTTGTGAAAACTTGCATACTCTACTCGCTTAGAAAGCCAACTGTGCAGGGACACGTTACTAGTCAAGTTGCACTTTCACTTCAGCCCTAGAAATGATCGAATCATAACGATTGCCGATAGCCTCAGAAAGCCTCATTTCATAACAGCCAATTATATGATGCCACAAACTCTGTCATTTTCTTTACTTCTGCAAATACTACCCTACCAGCTGGATGATGGGTTGCAGTTGTCATTCGGCTTACAGTCGATATCCTCTCAACAGGGGTATTTGTTGCCGCCTCTTCCAGCCTCCAAGCGAACGCATCAGGGTCCAGATTTTGCAAAATAATGATTATTGACATTCCTGCATGCTAAAGAACTTGCTAGCTCGGATATTACTGGGCAATATCATGTGTTGTGGCTTTCCAATCGCCAACTTGCTTTGAGCTACTAAAGTGCCATGAATAACGGGATGGAACCCTTCTTTCTCATGGGCGAAAGTAAGCAAACTCCAACAAGTTGAGGATATAAACAATTTCCGTTCAAAGATCCTAATAATAATCAATACCAAGGCAATATGTCAATTACAAGCGCCGTCGTTGTTTATAGTAATGTAGAATATTGATTTCATAGACTACAGAAGGAAGCCATTGTCGTGATCCGCCCTGAAACCCAGAATTCCCTTGTCCATCCGTTATTCGGGATGGACACCATTGACCTCAACCACCCCCGACCGGCATAAGGTCTGGTACTCAAACTTCAGACACACTGAAATAAAGAACACGACTACCGTTACGTGCAACAAAGCCTTGGCCAACATCACCCATCGGCCTCGAGGCAGAAATACCACCGCAAGGAAGCACCATGCCAGTATCGCTGCATCGTGTAGTCTGTTGTGCAGCGGGCTACGGCTGAAGAGTGTATGCCATTGCAGGAACGAAGTCATAGACAGCACTACCATTACAGCTCGGACGATGGAGGAAGATATGGTATATCGCGCGCTGGAGAAAACGGCGATTTTATCCTCCGTCGACAGCACGCACGCAATGCTCCAGGTTGCCATGGGCAGCTGGGAGATCAAGAACCCGTGGACAGACCATAATGTAGCGTCGAAGTACGGCTCGGGGACGGACTTGGCCCAGAAAAAGAAGGCGCAGGACGGCGGGATTAAAGCAGTCGACAGGGCGCAGAAGGTAAGGAAGATTGACAGTCGGTTTTTCGCGATGCGTTCGAGGAGCGTCGCCTTCTTTTCGGTCGCAGATTGCTTGTTCCCGGTGGCGGGATTTTTTGGCTCCGTAGTAGGCTAGAGCGAACTTGTTAGAATCAATCAAATCATTGATGAGCTGCAGCGAGATCGCTCTGGGTAACTCACGAGCAAGGAGGTTTCCTTGGCCATGCTGAAGGAAGTGGTTTGGTTGAAATACCTCCAAGATTCGAGCAAGTGGGGAGTTTGAAGCTAGAATAAAATAAAGTCAAGGTTGGGGACGCCCGCCTTTAATTCAAGAGAATCAGCCTAAGATTGACTCAGGAATTAGTCAAACAAATAATCATGCGCTGTGCCGCAGCAACATCGCCCCCTTGCTCTGAGCGATGAGATCATCCTATCGCTAAAATTAGCACTTTGGTTCGGGCGGCTTACCCTATACCAATACGATGACTCTCATAGAGGCACACGTTGCGCCCATGAGTACGGGATTCCTAGGCTTTGGAAAGTAGAAAAACAAAATTTAAAGTTATTTGCGCTCAATTGTTACCTATCGTCAATTCATTTTCCCAGAGCATCCCAAAAGTAGTCAAGATTCCAATATCATTCAAAACATACGACGAAAACCTACCCTTTAACAATCAATGTTCCAAAGTTCAACTCTAGACTTTCATTTTGGTAGATCTTTAAGTTAAGCTATGACGGAGCTAAATCAGCTACGGAGTGATCAATGATATATTCCAGAAGCCCACGTTATCCTTGGGGTTTCAGAGCTCAAGACCTTAAGATCAATCTTGTATCATGATACCTAACCAACAGCAGACAAGGACTCAAACGTGATGGTTAGTAATAGATATGCGGAGGTGTACGACCTTCTTTTTCCGTCATTTTCCCCTTATATGATGCCAGGAGGTTGCATAGGTTTGAGACTGGGGAAACCAAACCGTGTTTTCCAAATAACTGTGGCGGCTCCTATGTAGTTTTCCCCGAGTAGCCTACGTGGTATCCTCAAGCTCCGATACTTTTCTCGGGTCTGTGTTATCCAAGAGCTTCTTCTGTCACAGCGCGTTGTCATCCGCATTGGAGATGTGGATTTCTGGGCCGACCCTGCTATGGCCACTCATTTCTCGATGAAGCTCCCAGGATGGGACTGGAGGACCACCGCGGCGACCTGGGTGCAATTTACCTCACAAGGAACCTCAATAGAGAGGAATCTTAGGGAACTTCTCGAGATGTCCTCGGCCTCATGGGCTACTGATCCTTAGGACCGCATTTTCGGGCTACTGGGCATTTTGCCCGAGTTGAAGGCTCAGAACCCAAACCAGAGACCTGAAATCAATGATTGTCTTTTGAACATCAAAGGGGAGATTCCGGCTGACTACTCGCTCTCGTGTCAACAAATATTTATTGGCCTCTTTGCCTATTGCCTGCTCAGTAAGAATCAACCAAATATCCTCTACCACGCATTATGTCTTCCGCGGAGCAAGCTCAATTATCCTACGTGGGTGCCGGATTGGGCATCATCGACTACTTGGATGATTCTATTTCTAGCACCCAGATTAACAAGTGAAGATTTACTTGAAAAAATCAGAGACTTGACAGAAAACAGGCATGCAGGAGGGGAGGGGAGCTTCCTGTTTCCGAACAGAGTTAAGTTTGATATATATGAGCTCCGGGGACTTAGTTACAGATACATTAGAGAGGAACGTCACTGGAGGAAGGAGCCTTTATCAATGCCTCGACTGCGAGTTTGAACATCAATCTGACGCAATATATGGTCATTTCTCGTACATTAGAGCGAGTCGGGACTATCAGCGCGCTACACCTCTTCCGCCTACGTTGTGATTATTTCAGCGTCTATATAGTATCTGAGGAGAGACTGAATAGAGTCCTTACGGGACAGGGGAACGAAGAGTTGTTCATCTTAAACATAGATGACTGTTCATTCATATACCTCTTACTGAGACGCCAGATGGACGAGCATGGAGCCGTGACATATAAGCTCATTTCGAACTGCCCCCGGGTGCAAATTCTGATGTTCACGCAGCGAAGTGCGAACGAGATAACAATAATGCGAGCGTTGCAGCTTAGTGATCTGCAATACAGCGTATACGATGTCATTGGGAACTGTAGGGAGATTCTTGACAATGCATTTAGGAATCATCTACTAGAACGGTGGGACACAGGTATCTTGGTAGGGATCAGGGCAATACGTGATCTTGTGCCCGTCCTCAAGCAGCTATACGCACAACGACCGCAACAAGACATGAGCCTCCATTGGCCCAGATATTTCATAGACGCTGAAAATCCACGTTTGCTACACACGATCGGCGAAACGTTCATCCAGTGCGTTGACCAGAAATTCTCCCCCCAATTCAACGGCAAATGCGTCACCTTCTCCATGTCAATCTCGTGGAAGGAAATCTGTCGCATATACCTTTTTAGGAGTCATATTTCAGACAATCAACATAAAATCTATAAATACAAAATCAAGGATTCTAGATCCGCATGGGAGTCTCCCTACATCTCACCCCCAACTTACGACAACTTACTAGATTCCAGCGTGGAGCGTTGGCTGGAGATCCAATTCCCAACTTCGTGGGTTGTCCGTCTTTTGACCACGAATCCTGTTTGGCGCATTTCAGAATTGTTTGAAGATATGTACATGTTGTCAGATCATTTAGGGACGATAGGAGAGGACTTGTGGTCATTGGTGGTGGAGGGATCAGAACATGATTCTGACCTTCGATTTGTTGGCTTTCCGAGCCATATGCCATTTCCCGATGCGTACCTACAAGTTACAGATCTGTATGCTCAGTTAGGAATGAAGAGGAACACGTTCATGGTGCGTATCGAGTAGAGGTCTAAGAATATATTGTATGACTTTGTCCTATTCTTCTTGGGTGGCTCCTGTTTTGTCTCAGCTTGTCGCCATATTGGCCTAAGAACGGTTCGCATATTAGTTTATCATTAGGGGTTTTGCTAGCACGATAGGGAGAGAACAATATACTTCGATAGCATATGCAATTTAAGGTAGAACCTCTTTGATAACAATCATATTGCAAATTGACAGTGTTCACACTGTATGCGTCAAGCGTAAAACGGAAGCCAATAGTAACCTCCAGGATTTTGATAATAAACCCAGTACTCCGAGTAAGTTGCGAGCCCGTTCCTACGGCAGCAACCCAAATCCGACGCTTTTCCTAAGCTTTTCTGGTTAACCTACTCGTTTACAGCTAAGCACTATCATATAAAACAATCTAAGTAAAGGCTACTTCTATTCTTGAAACTGATCAATGATTATATAGTCTGAGCGAGTTATGAGCCTCACTGGGACTAACTGAGTTGTAGATAGCCCTTCTGATGGGATAGCCTTCTAATATCGGACAGCCCTTTCAATGGGACAGACTCTTTATCCTCTGTATGGCTGTTAAAGTAAATGGACAAAAGTCTCGTTGTCTGACATCGACCGTCATCACTGCGATTCACTTTTGCATTGCACGCATCAGCTATACTCCAGAGATAGAAAAATAGTTTGTTAACTCAATATCTTTAATACTATCACTCACTTGAAAAGGCCTTCATTGGGCCTATATGCCATGTTAGCAAATCTACAGACAATATATTGAAAAAAAAGAAAAGAAATTTAAAGATCAATTAACATTCTGTTCGGTGGGGGGCGGGGCGTAGGGGAGGAGGAGAAGACAGCTGTTCCAGTTTTTAAAAAAAAGAACTTATAAAATGGGTAAATTTCCTGTGTATGTTTTAACATTTCTGATTATGGCCTTCTCGCACATCTCTTGTTGGATTGCGTGCACATTATCGTAGAGAGACTTCCATTGGCCTCTCGACGGGCGCCCCATAGTCTCACCATTAGGTGGCCAGGGAGTCTAAGGACGCTATCAAGAGAGATCTAACATAAATGGAAAAGGAACGCTCAAAAGAAATTGCATCGACAAGCCCAGGAGTTGCTAGAACTCTGATCAGCGCTGCCAAGTCAGCCTCGGTCCTCTGCAGCAACCAACGCTTAGAACTCATCGCCGCTTGGGGAAGTTGTCGATCTGCGTTTGACCAGCTAGCCTGTGAGGTAGAATTTGAGATGGAGGCAGGTTTAGTGGAATTCGACGCAGAAAACGAAACTAAGTCCTCTGCAAAATGACAAAATTTTACAAGTGTGCAAGACTACGAGCTTTCAACAGAACACGGAAATTATCATTTCAAAAAACAAAACAAAAACAAACAAAAAGCGCAAAACCAACGGAACAGTCCAACGCAAGCACAAAAACAACACAAAACTGTAAAGTTCATATTGACTATACGGGGGGTTTATTGCATGACAATTGAACAACAGCAACACAACAGCAACACAACACACAACTCGAAAAGACTGAATACACACACATTATTGACCCAAATAAGCACTTATTATTAGCCGTCTTCATTTGAATTCAACAATAGTTCTAGACTAATAAATTAAAATATTCTAAAGACAGGCTTACATTGCCCTCTGAAGCGTTGGCGGCGGCGTCGGCGGGTTATAGCTGATGCATATGTATTTAGCAAGTGAATATCTTGATGCGTATATAAAGGCTGAAAACTTACCTCAATCGCCTGCTCGGCGTCCTTTATTTAGCCCGATTGTTAGTTTGATTGTATTACATGAATTAGGGGACTATACAAACCTGGGCGTACTGCTCAAGTCCCTATAGGTTCGCTATGTCAGTTTTGGCCCTTGAAATGAAGCAGTGAGAATAATTAGAACTTACGACCAGCTCGAGCTCCATTTGCTATTATGGGTGTTTGTTTTAGCATTGTATATCAATCAACAGCACAGCTAGAGAAGAATATTCTTTACCCGGATCCTGATTTGTCTTCGCTGTCAATGCCTCTCTGTTAGCAATACAGCTTATATGATTTAGCTTCACAGGCTTCTTACCCGCGCAATGTCTCTTTCTTTCTGTCACTTCGTTAGTATTAGAAGCCCACCAAAGCTACGATAGTTGTTGGACTTACGGTCAATCTTGTCCTTTTGGCCTATGATAGATTTTTAATTGGCGCGGTTTCCGGAAGTTTACAACCACATTGACTTACAGCAATCTGACTCCGCGTCTTCTATTGGATTTATTAGCCAATAATTCTTATTTCCGATTTTATCAAACTTAACTCACTTGCGCCTGAAGCAGCCACCACTATTTCATTGTTAGCCTATTCTTGCTTGTCTCACTCAAACTGATATCAAATAGACCATGACTTACTGCGCGACTGTAAAACTTTTTTAGACAGGGTTGTTTAGTATATAGTAATACAACTACATTTGCAAGTTTGATCAGGTTTTGGGCAAGCTCACAGCTCTGTCAGGGGGTTGCTTTGTGAAGGTGGTTAGCTCTACCATTCACAATGTGTTTGATAGTGTAATTGGGCAAGCTCACAACGACGGGGGCGGCGGTGGCGAGCTTATTTTGATATTAGCCCAGATATTCATGATCTTTTTGAAGATATATCATTGAAAACTTACAGGAGCATCATCGGAGGAAGGTAGGTGGGAAGAGAGGGGGGAGGAGGATGAGGCCGGACCAGCAGGCTTTTATGATGTTAGCTTAAATATTTACAATTCTTTTATAATAAATTATTGTAAACTCACAGTAGAATCCTCGGAGGAGATGGCGGCTGGGGGGGAGGCGGGCGGCGCGACGATGGTATCGGGCTTGTCATCATGTTAACTCAAGTATTCACGATACCCCGAACAATTGGTCTTTGAAAACTTGCCATGGCGACGGCGGCGAGAGGGAGGTTTTGGGGCTAAATAAATGCATTGAGTATATTTGATCAAAACCAGCTCGTCTGGGAGGGGCTTACCATGGGGGCGTCCTCGATGATGATGTCGGCCTTCAAATATTGTTTAGTATAAGTAGGGTTCAAAACTGGAATCACTTTTTGTCATGAAACTGACGTTTGACGACACGATTATTTCTGAATCCTATTGTAGTAAATTGATTAGTACATATAATAGAATTAAATTGTCAATGGTAACTTACTGCCTCATCCTGTGCAGGGAAAACCTTCATAGACAAATCAGTTATTCTTCTTGCAAAGAATCCATGACTTGGATGAACTCACAGCATCAAATGTGTGAGGATCCATGATAAGAGATCCTTGCCAGAAAAGTGAATCACATCTTCCGACTTTATGAGTGGCCCTCTCAATTACACAAAGGGACAGGCCTATTATTAAATAGTTCAATTAACGCTATGAAATTAATCGTCGCGGAAATGTATCTTAGGTTGCAGGTCACATATTGATAGTGTGATCCTAAAAACTTTCAGGTATCACGAGTATTTTGTATTTCAGGTCCGGCTGTGAGTTTGAGTAGCTTGAACTCGCACAGTAAAGTACAGCAATGGAAGATGCCGGATCCCGACCTCTCAACACAATGAATACAAAGAGGCAAAAATAAGCTCTATTAGTCCAACGCTACAGCCATGCAGAAGAAAAACTCCTTAAACCTTCAGATCAATGACTCCTTCGCCGTCAGGACTAGAGCTTGTTGGATCCCTATATAACTTACACTCCTTCGCCTATTCCCTGGCTGCCTGAAGTTTCATAGCACACAGCCTCCTTTATTAATCTTCTGTCCGTCCACAGGAACAACAAGTTCAAAGCTTCCAGATACCAACCCAGTGGGTACCAGTAGCCCCTTGATCAGAGCGCTTGTACCGACTCGTATTCAAGGTTCTAACCTAGTCGGCGTTATACTGCAAATATTCCAATCATAAAAGGCCATCCACCAACCCAGATTTATTACCATCCATTGCAGCTCCCAAGACACCAACACCATGGCAGAGCCAAAACGACACGGTGGCCACAGCCACAAAACCAACAATCCAATATGCAGGAAACCAGTGGCGAGAAAACCCTTGACCGAATTTCATCTTTTTGCCAGACTTCCCGTCGAGTTACGACTCATGATCTGGGAGATGGCTATTATTCATCATCTCCCCGCGCGGATTCACTACTATTCCTTGTTCAACGAAGATCAAACAGGGCATCGAACCAGCTATCTCCCCTGGTTCGTGCATAAATATGGGCGGCGTCCAGAGTCAAAAGGGAAACAACAATCCGTACTGATAACCGATCGCTCTCAGTTGTCTTGGACTAAGCGCAATAGGTTGGGGTACTACTGGAACGCAGGACTTCGAACAGCTTGCTGGGAATCACGCATTGCTTTGAGCAAGGCTTGGGAGCCAATATTAAAGGACTTGCTGGAAAAGGAGCAATCTTTGGTGAAGAAAAGGCGCCGTGCGGCAAACAAGAAGCCTGCAGCAATGAAGAAGCCTGCTCCAATGAAAAGAAAAAAACTCACCCAGCCTCAAATTAGGAAGAGGAGGAGGGAGATTGCTACAGGGCGTACAATCGTCCCAATCAAAGAAGGTTCATCGACCATCTATATGGACTATTCCCCTAGAGACATTATTTGTTTTCGATTCGCGCCAGAACACCTAGCTACTTGCAGACTGCTCGACTGGCGGCAACTCTTTACACGTCTGCCTTTTTATCAACTCCCTCAAGCTTCGGCATTGAATATTGGCTTTGAATTTGAGGATGGTTGGGAAATGGGGCTGGACACTCTGAAGTCGGTGCGTGAGCATCTTGGTGAAGACTCAGTCCGAGGTCTCATTTTGAGACTACACTGGGCATGGAGTGTTGGCGAGGTTCCTCTTTGGACTCGCATCTTTTTGATTAATCCTAGGAGGGATCTTCCAGATCGTTGCTTCCTCGGACGAGGACTTCACTTTCGATATATGTATGACTTGATATATCGAGAAAAGTACAACTGTGAGCGAAAGCCGGATCTTTCCTTCTTTGACGGCAAGGAGGGGTTTGTTCACAGCTGTTCTTGGAATGGCTACAAGAACGATTTCGAATTCTGGGGCAATAACATACCTATTTGCAAGTTCATGTGGAATGTCAATAAATTTTGTCGGCCACAGGAAGTCTTTAGCTGGGAGCAAAATTTACCACATCTTAGACTCGACCATTGTCTGGTGGTGTTGCGACATCTTTTACCAAAATCAATCTCAGGATAAACAATAAAAACCGCATTCTCTACTATTACATCACTGACTGGACAATTTAATCAACTTGCTTCCCTACTATGGTCAAGGATGCATCTTATTACAGGGCAGGCAGTTGCTTCACGAGTCTTACAGATCAATGTCAAGTAGCTAACTGGGGTCTGATTAGAGGGGCAGATTGGGTAGTCCCGGTTCTTGAGACTATGCCCCAGTTATGTTCTTAGACTATGACTGGGCTGTGGCTGAGCGAAGGAAGCCCTGAGTGACCCTGAGCGACCCTGAGTATAACTGAGCTTAAGTTGAGCCAGCAACGTTGATACAACGAGCCAGCTCAGACTAACCTGATGTGGAAAATGGAGACGATTGTTTTTCAGGAATGAGTACCCATAAGATGGTCTAGATTCATTTGATGTAGAAAAAAATGTGATAGTTCTGTCGGTTTAATTTCTTTATTTTCTCGTGAGACTCTTGGCCTTGGACTGCCGCTCCGGTATAGCACGAGGCTCCACCCGGCGAGTCTTCTCCATACATATTGATACCTGGTAGTGTTGAGTTGATGATGAATCCGTGACAGCCCATCATCCATGTCGCTAGTCTAAGCGCGTGACTCGCCAAGAGCCGGCAACGTTGGCCCACTCCCCGTTCGCGTCCTGTGACATGGAGCGACTCGGGCCCTTGTTCTCTTTCTGGGTATGTAGTCTACTGCCCCGGTCAGGATAGAGAGCCTCTCCACTCATCATTCGCGCATCTCCATCATCCACCGCGTCGCCCACAAATCCGCCCGATGCCTTCGATAAGGCACATCCCCGATAGTAAGAGGCGATCGCGGAGAGGCTGTTTACCTTGCCGTAAACGCCGCCGCAAATGTGAGTGGCTTGAATTTATCCGCCTCTCGTCCAAGCTTTCACTGACCCGCCGGCTTCCAATCTACAGGCGACGAACAGAAGCCGGAATGTGGCAGTTGCACGGCCAGGAACGTTGGCTGTGTCTACCCACAACCGACCTTCGTCTTCGAGAGCCATAGGGGTAAAGGGTCCGCCTCTGGCTCTACCTCCGGTCTCGAGAATGATGCTGCCCGCGTCGATTCGGCCAGCCCCGATGCGAATCCTGATATTCCAGCCCCTATGTTCGGTCGCTTTGGGCAGCTAGTGGATTTGGCTGTTCAGCAGCCTGATGTTAGGGGTCGGGAACCCTCGCCTTCGTTGCCTTTCTATGCCACGCCGATCCAGCAATTACATTTCGAGGACCGAGTCGATGGCACACCTTCTTCGACAGAGATACCTGCCAGGCACAAGCCCGACACACCCGCAAGCAGCGGTCCCGCAGTCAGCAACGGTGTAGCCGAGGCCGGACTTCTCACGAACTTCGTGGCTGACATCGTGCCATGGATCGTCTCAACCTGTCCTGGTTCGAGATTCGCGAATTCCGTCATCGGTCTGGCCTCGCGCCAACCAACAGTCCGCAATGCTATGATTGCGCTCGTCAGGACACGAGAGGAGGCCCTAAATTCTACAAATGGCAAGAAAGACTTTGGAGAACATGGAAGCCGCTCCGTAGAGGCTGTTGAACGAGAGCTTGGCCATGTAGAAGACACCGTGGCAGTGAATGTTGCTAGGACCCTCCTATCCGTCACGAGGTTGTTCGGGTCGCGCCCAACATACTGGAGCAAAGTCGGGGGCAGTTACCTGCATTCAAAAGAAGGTTTAGAGGAGCCTCTACGGTATCTGTTGCAGATGCAGGGGAAGATCGGTAAGTCCCTCAGACCTCCATAACGGTTGTGACCATTAACTAATCCAGAAACTCGTCACCAGAGCTCGCATCCTGCATACTGACGGAAAATCCGCCGTCGATGTCGCTCGTGAAGTACCTCCAACAAAGCGTCTCTGCTCCAAACTCGGCAATCAGAACATCATACCTAGCGTGCCTGTCTCAGCTTGCGCAATGTCTGCATCTGACCTATTCTTGTCTCGCGCAACTGACGGCCAGATCTGGGGAGCCCCATGGGGGTTCACCAACAGGAGCAGATGCAGCTGCCAAGGCCGCTGAGGCCTGGTCATCATGGCACACCCTCTGGGCGCGCTGCATAAACTGGTATCAAGCCCGACCGCTGGAAATGGAGCCAATCTTTGGGTTCTCCAGCGGTGAGCTGTCTGCGGAGAGCTCAGCCTCGTTTCCGATTGAGATATACTCCACGCCCATTGCTCTCCAGGCCAACATGGCCATCCATCTATCGTTCATCGTTCTGATAGCTCACAAGCCGCGGCTACTCAAGCTCTCCAGGTCAGAAGTCCGCCTTGGCTCGGAAAGCTGGCACGCACAGAAGATTGCGGGGATGGCTGCTTGGAATCATTTCCAGGAGCAGTTCGACCCTCTCTTCGTAGCGGCACTGCTGCTGGCGGCAGAGAGGATGACGCATGAGTCGCAGCAAATGGCTCTTTTGAAGGCCTTTCGAGACATCGAACGCAAGATGGGCATCGTGTTGGATGATCAGATTGCGAGGCTGGAAAGGATTTGGCAGACTTTCCGCCTTGTTCACGTATGATTTCAAGGGATTCACACCTTTACACAGCATGGTAAATTTTACGAGGGTTCATAACAAAAGTCTTTCTTTCACTGCTTTTACAAGGACATGAATCATGGAAGGTTGGAATGGAGGGAAATTGGGAAATATCAGGTGGAAAACTCTTATTTTAGCGATTTATATCTATTACTCAGTAGAAATCTAATGAACCTTCTGACTTTTGTATTATTTCGATTCACTCGAGAAATCTGTTGGCGCAGCAGGAACATTCGTAATCAAGAAATCTCAAGTAGGCTTCGTGATAGACCAGACCTTTTGAGCCTCTGTAAAACGGACATTCTTGATGTTCGGTTTATCACATCAAAATCAAAAATTAAATGCATCCATCAGTCAAATCAAACCTAGACCATTGAGCCATTACACCGGTTCCAAGGGCCGTTTGTTTGTTTCATCGCTTCCGATCAATCAAATCAACCACCACCCCCAAAGTCGGATTGAATTGATTGAAATGATTGAATTGATGTATAACTAAGGTTAGCTTACCCTACGGTAATGAAAGCAGCACCTGAAAATTCGGCCAGAATTCGGCAAAAATGGGAGGAGGGTATTAAAATAAACCGTACATATTAACTATAGTAATTAAATGTATCTTATGATTGATTGTATTAGCTTGGCAAAAATTCTGGTTTGGTCTGAGGATCGACCTTGGTTGGTTTGACTGGTTGGATTGATGGGAAGTGATGGGTTGTTTGATCCGGAGTCCCGCCCACTGAAACCGCAACGGTCGATCCCCTGTAATTTTTAGCGTATTCTGCCGGTGTGCTTCGAAAGCGGTGAAAGGACAGACTTTTTACAGGCACTCGTCGGAGAAACGTCTGTTCCGTCCCCGACAAACCTCGTCTTCGTCTGGGGAGCTTCCATGGGAAGCCAAGCACCAAAGCACCAAATGTCATGCCATCGACTCATCCTTCCCCGCATGAATTGGAATATAGCCCCAAGCCAAGCATCGGTAGTTGCATTGTTGAGTGCCTACGTCCCCCAGACTAGGCTAGACCTCCGCGCCAGGCTCCATATCGCGTAGCCTACACGATGCTCGAATCAGGTCCACCGAGTGGCAACACGTAGCCACCTCTATTCAACCCACACCCATGCCACCGTCGACGAGCAGGAACCCGAGGCGGTGGTCACCACTGTCAGACGCATATCTGGGTCGTATCATATTGATGTCCCATACGAGTCTAAGATGGACGCACCAATGAGCGAGACCGACCACTTCCCCGTGGACCCCCGATTCCTCGAGCTCCACGAGGAGCTCCGGCACGTCGTGCTGTCCGGCATCGTCAGCCTCAGTCCGAGCCGATGGCCCTCGCCGGAGCCGGTTGACTCTGCAGCACCAGCCACGAACGCGGTCTTTGATGGCCCCAGCCTCGACTTCACCGCGCTCAAGATACCGCAGTCGCGGCTGATCCGGTACTTGCAGAACTGGGTGACGGAGTGTGCGCCCATCCTTGACAAGTTTGACACGAATCGTCAGTTTCAGATCCAGGTGCCGCTGATCGCGCGCAGCTCGCCCGCCGTGTTGTATGCCATGCTCACGTTCTCGTCACGGCAGATGGAGAGGCGAGGTGCAGCGGAGGTGACGGGGTGTTACGACAGTCCCGAACTCTACCAGGAGAGCATCAGACTCTTGACTCCTGCCCTCCAGGCCAAGGACTCTAATGTCCTCGTGGCGGTCTGCATTCTCGCCATGTTTGAACTGATGTCGTGGAACTCGACCGACTGGAGGCGGCATCTTGAAGGCTGTGCCGCAATCCTCGGGTTCTTTGGTGTGAACGGCTTCTCGGGCGGGATTGCCCAGGCCATGTTCTGGTGCTATGCACGGATGGAAATATGCGGCGCCATCATCTCTGACGGGACGGAGACAGCGGTATATCAGGTGTCCAAATGGATTCCCGCCGAATCTTCCAAACCCTCGACATTGGCACCAGATGATCAGCCTGAGTTTGCCAGAGCACTGTTGCACCACTACGGACGCGAGTGGCATCCAGACATGCATGCCAACTGGGCTACGTATCTCTGCGCCAAGGTCTGCGATCTGCGCTTCAGACGCACGCAGCATCTCGAGCTCGGGAAGCCTGATGCGCAGGACAGTCGCCCGTTCTCGGAGAAATGGCATCAGCTATGGAGGGAACTACGGCGCTGGGTGGAAGAGAGGCCGCCGGCTATGCTGCCGGTGCCAAACATCATGAGTGAACAGCAGCAGCAGAAAGACAGCCCCTTTCCCACCATCCTCTTCTCTCACAACTCCGCCATCTCCGGCAACCAGCTCTATCACACAGCGTGTATCCTCATGTTGGAGATACGCCCACCGGGCTTTGCCCCAGCACAGGCCACCTCAGCTCCCGAATCTTTTCCTGTTTGGCACGCTCGCCGTATCTGTGGCATCTCGTGTTCGAACCCGCACAACGGCAGCAGGATTGATGCCATCCAGCCTCTGTACATTGCAGGGCGCTTGTTCACGCACGTCTCGGAACGCATGGAGATCGCGCGGCTACTTAGAACCATCAGTCGCAAGACGGGCTGGGGTGCCTGGTGGCGATTGCAAGATCTGGAGGCAGAGTGGGGATGTGAGTACGACGAGAACCTAACAGCGTCGAACCAGCCAGAGAAGCCAGCGCGAGTGTCGATGCCCGCTTCAACATAGGATCGCATTTAATCTATCAAGTATAATCTAATTTCTTGGCTCTCGAGGCCGATATCTATAGTGTCTGAATAAACGACAAGAAATGATTCCTGAACCCCTCAGCATTTACGCCAAATGCCACCCGACAATTCGGCTTCGGGGGGTCAGGTAGCTCTAACCGATCCCCAATCATCATACCCCGACCCTTCACATCGCCCGTCACAATATCAACAGCCATATCTCTGTACTCGCACAACTCCGGCTTCGACACACATGCCACCGCCAGGGGGTCGTGCATGGGCACCGAGGTCATCTTCGGCCTGCCGGGGAATCTCACGGCCTGGTAATCGATGTACGTCGCCGACGCCTGCCCTGCGAACTGGGCGAACTTGGACGGCGACTTTTTCAGGCTATCGGCATCCTCCATCGTCAAACGCACCTGCAGCGTGACGTCCAGCCCGATCCAGCGCTGCGGGATGCCACTGTACAGCACCGCGCGGGCGGCCTCGGGGTCCGTGAACACGTTGAACTCGCCGGGCTTGTTGTGGCTGTACATGCTGCCGAAGAAGACGCCGCCCATGATGACGAGCTCCTTGATGGCCGTCTTGATGCGCGGCTCGAGCAGGATTGCCGTGGCGATGTTGGTCAGCGGCCCGATCGCCACGACTGTAATCTCGCCCGGGTTGGCCATGATGTGCTCTACCATGGCCAGGGCCGCGTACTTGCCCGGGACTGGCTTCCGCGCCGTGTCCTTCATGGCGCTGACGTGTGCCGCTGGTATGCGGAGCCTTTCCGAGTACATCATTGGTGTTTCCGCGCCACGGACGAGAGGCGTGTCTTGGGCGTTGATGTTCAAGCGATCCATGAGGACGCCGGTGAGGATGGTGGCGCTTTCGACATCTGTGTTGCCGTTTACCGTCGTCACGAGGTCGAGTTGGATATTGGGGTCGGCGTGGGCGAGGGCCAGGGCGAAGCCGTCGTCGACGTCTGCCCCGGCGCCCATGGAGAGGTCGGTGTCTAGGATGATGCGGTTCGGTGCCATGTTGAGCTTGACCTTTGTTAGGGTTCTGATGGTTTTAGAGTTGAGTTGATAACAAATTTGGGTCTGCCAGCTGAACTAGACGACTTTTGGGATGTAAAGACTGTAGAGGAGATGAGCCCGGGGGATACAAGAACGAGGAGAAAGGCGAAAACTGGTAACGAAATTTGAGAACCACTCAGTCGGATCAATGCATTGGAAGTAGCATGCGGGTCATTCTGCAGTCAAAGTAGCATCCGGAAATTTTTAACGTGTCGACGTCCTTTAGTCACTGGGATCCGTCATGAGACTCATGTTGTCTGTGGAACTCTCCACCTGACGAGTCAACAGCAAACCTCTCACTCTAACCAGGAACAGGGATCATAGCCTATCGTCGGCTACGAGTTCGGCCCCCCTTGTTGCTAGTCCTCCGTAGACACGCGATCTTGCGCTATTCCCGGGCGCCGCTTGCTCCAGAGTCTGCTAGCTTGTGAATCATGATCGGTGGCCCAAGGAGCGGACTGGTCCACAGGGCGGTTGACTAATTGAGTCAAATTCTGTCAATCAAGCGTCTGGCCATTCCGAGGCAGCATCCGTGTGGCGGACCCTGGAACCTAACCTTACCACCCTTGGTCTGTCTAGGTCCCCATGGGGCCGGTTTTGGGGATGGGGGGGGAGCGCGTCTTGCAAATTTGAAACGGCTGTATAAAGAGACAAGATCGTCCCTCAGCATCAACACGCCCAGGGACATCGCCTCTTCAACCGAAGCACTCCAGGAGCCTCATCAGCCTCTACCTTGCCCAACATGAGCGCTCATCCCAAGCCCGAGGACAAGACGGCGGCCACCGAGCACGTCGCCGAGCACGCCGTCGACGAGCATGGCGGCTCCGACAACACCACCGATGCCAAGGCCATCGACCAGGCGCTCGCCGCCGGCCAGGTCGTCCAGATGCGTTCCGAGCTCGATGACCTGCCCATCACCAAGGCGTTCCGCATCTTCTGGCGCGTTACTTCGCTGTGCATGCTTGCCGCGTTCGCGTCCGCGCTCGAGGGTTACCGTATGTTGACCTAGCTAGCCCCTGATCAAGCTTGGGAGGGTCGCGTTGCTAACAGGAGTGTTTGCAGAGTACACTCTGACGGCGTCTATCGTCGCGAACAAAGGGTTTATCCGGCAGATGGCCAACGGTGGCACCAAACTCGCCCCTGAACATGTGTCCCTCTGGGGTGGAAGTCTGAGTCTAGGACAGTTCGTGGGAGTCTTGGGTTTGCAGGCGTGCATCGACAAACTGGGCCGAAAATGGGCCATGCATATCACATGGTTCGCCCTGGTCATCTCCGTCCTCGTCGAGTCCGTCTCGAGCAACTGGATTCACTGGTTTGTCGCCAAGTTGATCGCGGGTGTCGGACTGGGCATGATGCAGGCTACATACCCCGTTTACATCTCGGAGTTGTCGCCTACCCAGATTCGTGCCGGTCTTACAACCGCCTATCAATTGTAAGTTTATCAACTCCGACGCGGTCGATAACGAGCAAAGGCTAATATGATATCTTCTAGCTGGAACGTCCTGTCCCATATCTTTTCCCCCTTGGCTCTCCGACAGCTGAGCTACACCGACCCGTACAACTGGAAGACCCCAATCTACACCCAGTGGGGTATGCTGGTTGTCATGCTTGGCATCAATTTGTTTGTTCCAGAAAGTCCTTGTGAGTTTATTCTACCTTGCGGTCTTATTTGCCTGTTATGATACTGATATAGATTTCCTAGGGTGGCTCGTCCAAAAGGACAGGATCCCACAAGCTGAGAAGGTCTTGACATTCGCGTATAAGAACGTCCAGAGCTATAATGTAAAGGAACAGCTGTCTATCATCGTCGCCACCATCGAGCGCCACCGCCTCGTCAGCGTCGAGCAAAAGTCCCAGCTCAAGGAGATATTTTCTGGTATCAACCGTTGGCGTCTCCTGATCGCCTTCTGGCCCAAGGCCATGCAGCAGCTCGTCGGACAGAGCTTGACCAACAACTACAGCACCTACTTCTTCCAATTGGCCGGAAACTCGGACGCGTTCACCGTCACGATGATCCTGGCCCTCTGTCAGCTAGTGGGTGTCATGGCCTGCGCATTATTCGCCGACAAGTTTGGTAAGCGGTGGTTCACGATCGGCATGTTCGGTTCTGCTGCCGTGGCTGTCCTCTGCATCGGTATTGTCGGCTGCTTCGACTATACCAGTAAAGACCTGGGTAGCCTGCTGGTATGATACTTCATTGTAACAACTTGATACATGGGATACGTCGCTGACGAAAATTTTACTATCTAGGTCTTCTTTGGCTGCGTGTCCAACTTCGGTTGCATTGGCGGCGCCGGCATCGCATACACCTACGTCGCTGAGATTCCCACCCAGCGTCTCCGTGCTAGAACCGGCTCCGTGGCCCTGATGGGTTCATTCCTGCTCGGAATCTTGTTCAACTACACTGTCCCCTTTATGCTCCAGGTTTGGGCCGTCAAGTCTGGATTTTTGTGAGTCAATGCCCCCATCTAGACCCGACATCCGTGAAATGAGAGCTGTGAGACTAACAGGCCCTTCTCTACCTTAGCTTTGGCATCGCCGGTATCCTGTCGTGCGCTATTGGGTGGTACATCCTGCCTGAGATGGCTCGCCGAACCCCGGCCGAGATTGACGAGATGTTCCAGGACAAGATCAAGCCACGGGCTTTCAGGAAGCATGTCACTCAGGTCCAGATCTACCTCCAGGAGAAGGAGGAAAGGGAGAGGGATGTCCAAGAAGTCAAGGAAGTGCAGGAAAAGCTGGGATAATTTTCTGGCCTGCCAGGTTAGAAACGTGCCAGCGTTGCTGTTGCGACTATTCCCCCCTGGGACTTATTCTGGATTTGCCAGGGCTTAGCTGAGCCTCGCAGCGATGATCTAGCGAGTCCCCTGCCGACGTCACGAAGAGACAGTATTTAAATCTAATAATCATAACACTAAAAGGAGCAGTTTGCAGGAGAGAAGAGATAAGAAAAAGCTTAATATTGCATCATATAGCCATCTATCCAGCTGCGAGGTAGAAGAAAGAAATATTCATTCAATTTTTCCTTCTTAAATTAAGGGGTATCTTTCAACCACCCCCTACATTCAGCCCCCTGGCCGAAATCATCACCTCAATTCGCTCTAGGTATCCATGAAACCGTTCCAGAGCCAACTTACGGCAAACCTGGACGGAGGGGGCTGAAAGATCCCCCTTCTACCTGCAGGAAAGAATTAATTGATTTACTTACAAAAAATGACCAGCCGGAAGTGGAGAACAAAAAGTAGAGAGGACTTGTAGCTGAAAGTGCAAAATTTAGGGTGTTAAGGTCTCAGTGGGGATCGAACCCACAATCTCCTGATTCGTAGTCAGACGCCTTGCCATTGGGCCATGAGACCGTATCAACTTGGTGAAGCTTCGAGAACACAGCATCTTGTATCAACGGAATTTCCCATTCATTGGTAACAAGTTGGCGGCATCCGAATCACCAGAAAACCGCGAAGCCTTTCATTCCAGCAGTACAGGTCAGGCAGAAATGGCATTGCAGGAGAAGAAGAAACATAAGCCACGCTTGCTTGCAAGGATAAAATAAGCTGGCAAATTCAGGGGTTCCGCATGCATCATCTTCAACTAACCCATACTGCACGCAAAGAGGCACTGAGGGGGAGAATATCAAGGTCGCTTGTTGATAGATATATTTCACGTCAGTTCCACTAGCCGATATATGTACAGCTTAGAGTTGAAATTTTCACAGTCTGCATTCATTTATTTATTCATACTTCTCCTTACTGGACATCCTTGAGTCAAAATACTGGCTTATGCTCTAGGGAGAGAGCCCCGGTAGTTGAACTCTGCTTTGACAGCATCAGCAAATATTCTAACTCCTTCGGCCAAGTCCTGTTCTCTAGCCGCCGCAAATGTAAGCCTGAAGAACAATTCCGCTTCCTGACTAGATTTTTTGGTAAAGAATAAGGATCCTTTGGTAACTTGAACTCCGTTGGCCAGTCCAAGGGTCAAGATACGGTCTTCGACCTGAGAGCACCAGTCCTGGACTATGTGTCCTTCAGCGGCGTACATTGGGTGCATCCGTACATCAATTGATATCCAGAGAAACATGCCGTGATCCGGAATTGCGAAGCTGCAGATATCGGAGGGTAAGAAGGAATGGCAAGCAGCGACGGTTATATCGCGTCGCTGCGTATATTTCAGCGATAAGGTTTGAAGCCAAGTTGAGAAACCTTCTTGACCCCACTGGAGGTTGAAGAGATCATGCAAAATAAACTGGCTTGGGCCGCTCACCGACACCGTCGTCAAGTCATGGTATGCGGCATATTTATCAATGACTTGTTGGCTGGCGGTCACCCAGCCGGCACGAAGCCCCGGGGCAAGGATTTTAGATGTCGAATCCAATCTAATCACACGCCCAGACTTGTCGATGGAAAGATATGAGGGAACCAACTGTCGAGAAACTGCCTCGGGGTTCCCACCTTCGCTTGCTGCGTTGGGTCCTAGCTGGATAAAGTAATAGGGGTCGTCCTCTACTATGATCAAGCCGTGACGCTCAGCAATTTCATAGATCGACAAGCGGCGCTTTTGACTTTGTGTTACACCAGTGGGATTCTGGCCAGAGGGAATGGTATATAATATCTTGGGTTTCGGTCGCTCGAGCGTGTTCCACTGGTCTAGAATCTGGCCTAGTTTGTCGGGACTTAACCCTTGGTCGTCAAGATCAACTGGCTGTATCTCGACTCCTGCGAGGGCTGCTGATTCGATAAAGCCGGGATATGAATATTTTTCTGCCAAGATGACATCTCCGCGGTCGGTGAATGTGCGGAAGATTATGTCGAGTGCAGAAGTTGACCCGCAAGTGAGACAGACGGCCCAGTCTTGATATGGGGGGTCATGTATCAATTTCATGTGCTCAGTGAGGAATTGAACAAGCGACGGCGCTCCCAAGGCGGCACCATAGGTCAACGCATTGGCGAGAGTGTATGTGGATGGGACTCTGGCTCTACCCTCAGGCCCATTTGGCTTGTTGAGAAATGTTGGCCAGTTCGCATCACTGCTGGTCCATGGATAAAGCTCAGCGGTTGGCCGGCCAGTCCCAAGTGGGATGAAGTTAGAGAGTAGCCTGGTTGTCTTCTTGAGTGCGGATCCTTGGAAGTTACGGCTCTCCTCGCTAAAGTATTGCTGTAAGCAAATCGCCTTTGGCTGGGTGCCGCCTCCGGATGAGGCAGTAGTTGCTATCTCAGGGCTTTGGACGATTGATGAGATTCCCTTTTCATCCAACGCGTTGTGAGCCATGATATAAGATAGTGATACGAAGCGAGGCTGTGATGGGGATTTGGTAAAGATGCCTGGCGTGGGTAGGCTGAAAATGCAAACTAAGTATTTCTCACTCAGCTAACATAATGTAGGTTAATAAAGTAAGGGAAAGTTATCCCAGTGATCCTTATATTCCCAAAAGCCCTATGGGCAGAGGGCTAGGTGCACAGATTCGTTCGGAGTGGAGTACGGATCGGTGTGTTGGTATGTCGCCATTCTCAGGCAAAGTAGTGGCATGAAACGCGACAGAATATGACCACTCACATTGTATTCCGCGGTGATCCTTTACGATAAGGATCCAAATACCCACAAGAGACCCAGTATATCCACTCAATTCTGCAGTGTCGTCGTCGACTGAGGAATAATGCCATAGAGTGAGTCGTTTTGGCAAGCTACATTCAATGTCACCAACTTGGGAGAAAATATAGGTTACGCGGTGAATTACCATTACATGATACTTTTAATTAGGGCTTGCTGAAAATAAGCACACTATGATTAAATAATCTGGAATTTTGATCTCTTGATGTGTATTTGGAGGTTCCTTCCATCCATTTGAAATGCGAGATGCAATCCCGTCATCAAATTTCATTCAGTCTTGTATGGTATACAGTATGTAGATTCTGACAGACCGTTGCTTTGAATTGTTCAATATACCAAGTCTTCAACAATTGAACGGAAAAGGATACGCCCATAACACACGGAGATGCCACAGACGCTCACGGGACTATGTCTCGAAATGAAGTCAGGTCTGCAATATCCTGCCAGAAGCCAAACTCAAAGTCCAGCGTGTCTATACCAATATGGGGATCAAACTCTGCAGAGTCTAGAACAGATGATGAAAAGTCCAACTTGTCGGATGATTGGTCATCACTAGAACTTGAGGAGTCGAGAAAACCTCGTATAATGCGGGTCGCCTTGATGAGCAGTTTGTAGTTGGGATCACCGGGCCTGATGATTGTTCCCAGCTCGATTTCAGCCACGAAAACACTGAGATTGCGAAGAGTATGGGTTTGTGCAGCCCACGAGTTCGTGCCCGTTCGATGCTGTCGAATCAATGACATGAGGAGAATTCCGATTGCAGGAAGTCCATAGCAGGTAATCTACCCAGCAGTTCTGTTAGTTAACTGTAGCCATTTTACGCAAGGTGAAAGCCTACCTTCCAGATGAGGCTCGTGCCCGAGTTTGCTAGCTGTTCTCGAAAGAGAATAACTTCGACAATGAGGTTCGTAATTTCCTTCGCTATTTCGACGATAGGTTCATCTGGCTCTGCTAAACGATCCAAGTGTAGCAGTCGTAGCAAGAAGAGGACATGTAAGTGGTTGAGTCTTATGCTCGCCACAAAATCTCGTTCGAAAGGGCTCCGTGGGTAGTCCTTAAGGCTCCCTTCGTAGCGAAAGCTCGCAGGAAGGGCTCCCCAGTGGACCGCTTCCCGTTCCTTAATCCTACTACCAAGATCTCAGTTTCAATTTCAGTTAGATGCTGATCGCCCCGGACGTATTCAAACAAACCTCAATCTTGTACCAAAATCAATGACTTTTTTATCAAAGAGGAGCTCGATTAATTCTTCCTTCTGAAAAGCACATAGCGCCGACCATCGTGTTTCGGCTCTATAGCTAATCCTAGATTCTTGATCCCATTCACAGCAAGGAGATGTTGTACTCGGCACCCAACTCGAGTCGGTTTGCTCTGGATTCATGGGAGACTGAAAGTTACAAAATCTTTTGCTAATTCGAGGTGGGCGGCCAAGAAAGAGAGCTACGTTCTTATCGGCCGAGTAGATTCGGGCGAAGGCAGTCCGTCTCAATTCTGCAACAAACTCGGAAGTGTCTTGGCCAGACTCGATTCTTTGATCGTAACCTAGAGCATACAAGCAAGAAATGACATCACCTAGTCTCTTCCAATATTCGTAGCCTTCCTCCGATGTTAGTTACCATACTTTCATTATGGGGCAGATTGTTCCCTCATGGGGCTCGGCCACTTACAATGGAGGCCATCGACATAGGAGTGCAGGATAAAGTTCTCATATTGTAGGACAAGTTGAAGATCGTTGAGGCGACTTAGAGATACGCAGAAATCCACACAGCTGTCACAGAGTCCAGAGACAAGCTTGCGCACTCGCAGCAGTTGTCTAGTATCTCGGTATAAGGATGGGAAGAATGATATATCAAAGGTTGCTCGAGCAACTGCGATGAAAAAGAGACCCAGGGTCTCCCAACGAGTATTATCTTGCGTGAATTGATCAATATATTTGTCAACGTGAAAAACTCGACTTGAACCTAAGGGTTGAGCTGAGTTGTGGAACAAAACTCTGGCCAGAGCGTCCTGCTCTGATTCCCTAGATATTGTCCTTGCATGTTTTGCAAAGTGAACGACACTATCCGCACAACGATGAACGAAAGGTCCGGCCAATGCTAGATTGACTTCTTTGGCGAGCCAAAACTGGATTAAATCACGCATAGCGTCTACATCACATTTAGTTAGTATCTTCGACACTAACAAACCCCCTCGAGGGATTAAGTCGTCTTCTTCCAAGTCCGAGCCTTCCTGTATCTGAATAGGGGAGCCAGCGGATTCAGCTGCATCTTCATTTGTCGCAATGTGATTAAAGATGGTGGTATGACTAGAATATCCCATAAATCCCGGGTTTGGGTATGGCTGACGGGTTGGCTTCCCACAGGGCACTGATGGAAAGACTGCCAATTCTGGACTAAGAATACTTTATGAGCTACTGTCTCGATGGGGTCCCAAGCTTTAGATTGGACGAGATGGGATGTACCGGGAGCTCCGAGTACGTCTTGTCTCGATGCGAGTGGCAGGCGGAAGACGTGGTTGTTTGCGCTTGAACGGGCTATCTCGATATGAGCAGAGGTCTCCCTTGTCTGTATTGAGGCAGCGTGTGCAGGTAGGTCGCTTGTGGTCACAGGCAAGCTTGGCCTTGCGGCACACTTCACAAGCTGCCTGCCTGGATGTCATTGTAGGGCACTGACTAGGAAAGCCTGCCTGTCTGTGGTTGCGTCCCCCGAACCGTGAAGCAGGAATACGGACAAAACGCTGAAGGCCGGAGAGGAGAAGACTGAACTCCCGGCCACCGGAGAGTCGGCAAAGTATCTGCACTAGCGTTGTCCGATGGTGCTGTGTAAGTGGAGAAGACCCTCATTGACTGCTTGATGTTACTTCTCAGCTTCATTGCATCAGGCAACTAGAACAGGCCATTGTTGCCATGGAATTCATTGCTAATCAGCTACGGCGAAGTGCTCGCTTGGGGCCATCCTTGTTTGCTTTGTTGATTAATCTCTGTATATATAATCCAGCAGTTGACCCATTTCCCTCATCTTATCATCGATCAAAACCTTAAGCCTAGCCTACCCAGTGCCCATAACAATGCCGCTCTCTTCGATTCCTTCAGATGCCGTCAAGTGCGCAGAATACATCTTTTCAAGGCTCTATAGCCTTGGCATACGTTCTGTTTTCGGTGTTCCTGGAGACTACAACCTACGTCTTCTGGACTTTGTTGAGCCTGCAGGGCTTCATTGGGTGGGCAATTGTAACGAGCTTAATGCCGCCTATGCTGCCGATGGATACTCCAGAATAAATGGAATCAGCGCTCTCATCACTACGTTTGGCGTGGGCGAACTATCAGCTGCCAATGGCGTAGCTGGTGCATATGCTGAGAAGGCGCCCATTGTCCACATCGTGGGCACACCGGCCCGAAGCCTTCAGGACCGACGAGTGTTCATGCACCATACACTTGCAACGGGCGATTATCGTCAGTTCGCTGCCATTCATCAACAAATCACGGCCGCTCAAGTCAACTTGGTGGACCCTCGGACAGCCCCGGACCAAATCGACTGGGTTCTACAAGAAGCCCTGTTCCACCAGCGACCGGTGTACATTGAGGTTCCCGATGATATGGCGGATGCCTTGGTTTCAACTGATAACCTAAAGAAGAAGCCGGTACTGGCTGTCCCCCATGTGCCTGAGGCCCAATATGAGGATAGTATTGTCGAGAGAGTCCTCGGCCGAATCGATTCAGCGAAACGGTCTGCTATCCTTGTGGATGGGGAAACTAGAGGTTTGGAAATACTTGATCTGGTAGAAGAGTTGTCTAAGCAGACGATGTGGCCTACTTGGACGACAATCTTCGGCAAGGGCCTCATCAACGAGTCCATGCCCAACGTTTATGGTATCTTTCAGGGAAAATATGCCCTTGAAAGCTGGAAAGAGTATTTCCAAACAGCCGATCTTATCCTTCATTTTGGGCCTCATCTTAGTGACACCAATTCATTTGGCTTTTCAGCTGTTCCCAGAGAAAATGTCACCATAGCCATTTCTCAACACACCGTGCGGGTAGATGGGGTGCTCTTCCGGGATCTCCCTCCCCGTCGCTTCATGTCTAAAATTCTCTCAAGCTTGCAGCCTTCGAAACTCGGTGCACAAGGCCCTCCGCACCACCCACCGCCGGCGGTAGATCTGGATAAATCCTTACCTCTTACACAGAAGCACTTTTATCACTATATCAATTCCATCTTTAATGAAGGAGACATCATCCTTGCCGAGACAGGCACCGCGGCTCATGGATGTCGGCAGTTCAAGCTCCCACCCAAGAGCCGGCTTCTCACTGCTGTCACCTGGCTCTCCATCGGCTACATGGTCCCAGCTGCTCTTGGGGCTGCTCTTGCACAAAGGGAGATTCTCGGATGTAGTGACCACCGCAGAGATGGAGTTTCGGGCAAAGAGCGCGTGGTTCTCTTTGTTGGCGATGGCAGTCTTCAGATGACTGTGCAAGAAATCAGCACCATGATAAAGGAAGGTTTAAATATCACTATCATAATCCTTAACAACAACGGGTATACGATTGAGAGGGCAATACATGGGAGGAAGCAGCGGTATAACGATATCGCGAGTTGGGACCATGCCCATATCCTCCCCCTACTAGGGCAGCAAAGCTCAGCCTTGGAAAGTTTCCCCCGGGCAAGAACATGGGGAGAACTAGAAGCGATTATTGGATCTGTAGAATTCACTTCGGGGAAGGGAGTTATGATTATTGAGGTATTTTTTGATCAAGAGGATTGCGAGGGAAGCTTGCGAGAGATGTTGAACGAACAGATACGGAAGGGATAATGACCTTGGGCCACCTCTTAACTAAACTTGCCTGCTCTGCTGTACCTAGGTTTAGTATGATAAGGCATCTTATCTGCTACCTGTACGTAACTGATGTTATTCATTGTGTTGAGTTGTCGGGCTCTGGCAGCTTCCATTGCTGTTAAACTTTATTCTCTTTCTCTTAGGTAGGTACGTAACTGATGAAGGTACCGGCGATGAAGGCAACGACTACTTACCTTAGTCCACTGGTAGTATTTAAGCATATTGGGCGTAAGAATATATAAAGATATCTTGGGAGAGTGTTTAGGTTATTATATGAGAGTATTTGCTGCTTAATAATAGTCCTATGTATAAAGAGATGAAATTAAGCACCTTATTAACCTTTATTTCATTCTTTCTTTCGTTTTCCTCCAACCTATTCACATCAAGCCATGTCGTCCTTGCGTCAAGATACCGGCTTGTGCTCTGAGGAGACTTCCTGATACTCTGGGCCCCTTAGCGATTGCCGCCATCGCCTGCCTTCTGCGGCCCATGGTCTGAATTCTCCACACGAGTCACACTTGGTTCATCGTCCTTCATATACGCGGACAGTTGTGCGGTGGCTGCAGAAGTAGTTCCAAGTCTGCCGGTGTCGAAAATTACAGAGACCTCTTCAATCGTCAAACGCCTGCTAAGGTTAGCATGATGAAAGTAGAGTGATATAAGAGAATCCTAACCTAGTTTCGGGGAAGAAGAAGTACACAATGACCAAATATACACAGAGAAGCGCCACATATATCGTGTAGCTTATGGGAACATTTGTTAGCGAGATTTATGAACCTGGTGTACGTGAACTTACTATTTCCAAGCCAAAGCGGCTAAGGCAACTGGGTTCACCCATTGGTTCTACTCTAGTGTCAGCAAGGATCGAATACATCTCGGTATTCTGGGGCATGAAATACAAATGCTTGAGCAACACTTTGCACGGAGAGCATGATACTCAGTCCCTTCAGACGCATATGGTAGGGCAAGATTTCTGCTCCGTAAGAGACTGTCGAACAATATTAGAATCGTTTCTTGTCATCCCAATCGCTGTACTTACAGGGCAAAGGAGTCCAGCCAATATCATAGAATCCATAATATATGTAGAGCATAGGAACGATGGCAATCCCGGTTGGACGGCTATGGGTTGATGCAAAGCTTCCCTGTACGTCTGTTAGCGATTCTACTTCCCCTTTCTTGAGTTGCGGTATCCTTACAGATAGACCGGTGATAACGATGTAGGTGGCGAGCATGCCGGCAGTGGAAGCAAGCCACATCACTCGCCGGCCAGCCTTTTCGGCATCGAACGAAGCAATATAGGCTAGAATCAAGTTCCAAATGGCTAGGCCGCCATTAATTCCCGCTATATCATGTCAGCATCCATTTCGTATAATTAGTTACTGAGTATATGACGTACATATCTGTGTATAGTCTGTGATACCGGCAAGCGAAAGAACAGGGGTAAGATAGTATGTGATGATGCCATTGCCAACCCAGTTCTAATTATGAATCAGCTAAGGCTTATTCCACTTGTATTAGAAAGGTTGTCTTTCATACCGTGCCTGTAGCCATGGTAATGAGAACCAAAAGACGTCGTCTATTTCCGGGAGTTTTGAAAAAGTCAACAAAGCTTGTCTTTGAGTTTTCTTCCTCGAGCTGGATTGTGAGACAAATCTCCCCATATTCGTGTTGGACAAGCTCATCTTCCATATCCCCGTTGGCATGGTATTTCGCTAGTATACGCATCGCTTTGTCCCGTTGGTCATGATGGATGAGCCACTATGAAAGGTCAGTCATGTTCTTAGGCTTTCCCAGTCGCACTGTCTTACTCGAGGGCTTTCAGGGATAATGAACATAAAAGCTAGGACAACTGCTGGTGCCAAGACCTGAAAGAGACATGGTGCCCTCCAAGACCAATCCGTATCTCCCCAATGAAGCGACCCATCTGTAAGGTATGTAGTGTCAGCATGATTCCCAAGGAAAGGCCGCCGCATCATTCTTACAACAGAACCATGCAGCTGCAATAGACCCAAAGTAGTAGTTAGAATAAAAGCAGCAAGAGAGAATACTATAAAAGTTAACCAAAAACCACCCCTATAGAAGATATGGAACATGGATCGTACGCTCTGAGTCGGGGGTGGGCTATTTCTTGCAGCAGAGCAATGGCAGTAATCTTGCCGAATGGGCCGGCGGCACTGTTGCACTCATTAGATAAATTCAATTCTTCAAGGTCAGTAGACAAACCCGATCAAGACACGTCCAGCAATGAACATGGCTCCGCTATTCGCAAAGGCATTAACAAAGGCACCAAGAATCTGATTGTGACGATTAGTGAAAAAGTTAACCACCAGGCTCCTATTTAATACTATAATACTCACCAAGACCAGACTGCCAACACTCAGAGATGCCTTCCTGCCCCATCGCGAATTTATAGCAGAGCTGATGTAAGGGGTGCTGTATATTTGATCAGCTAACATTCATCATAGAGTTATGTCATAAGTAATCGTACACAATCGCAGCTAGAGCCCTGTTAGAACGAGATCTGAGAAGCTAAAATTCCAATACTTGACTTACGTAGGAAAAGACTAGCAGAGATCAAGCCCAGATAGCTGCTATTGGGATGGTTAAAGTATTTCTGCCACTGCGGCATGGCTTGAAGACCATTTAAGAGGGAGGCATCGTAGCTAAGAATGTCAATATCATGGAATTCCGAGTTTGAGATTCACTCTTACCCCAGATAGAAAACGCAGAAATACAGGCCGGCGCAGTGGAATACATTGGTACGCAGCCCAGGGTCTCTCCACCACTTGGGGTTGGTGTTGTTGCGGTATTGGCGATATGCCGGTTCCTCGTTTCCTCCAGCCATAATGTTCTTCTCTTAGTTGCGTTTAGACGTCTGCTGAGGAAGTAACAGTTCTCTGAAGTGGAAGAGAAAGAGGAAGACAACAGAGGAGGTTTAATAAAACCAGATACTGCTCCACTCTCCACGGAAACCTGGGGAATATACACCGCAAACCCTGGGGAAATTTGGCGTGTCTGGGGAAACTAGATTACTCCTCAACGGCTAGAGAGCTGTCCCACTTAATTCCGCCCCTCGGAAATCTTGGTGTTTACGCCATCTGGGTTAGCGACCTTCCTACTGGTCCAGGTTTAGAGGCTAAACACACGAGATTGTAAATGCTTCAGTTCTAAACTCCATTACGAGTCATGGGGGTTTACGGTGGTGACCTAATCCTCGGATTGTGAGCGGAATTGCCAAACCTGCTTCATAATAGGGCGGAAAGAACAGCTCGGGATGTACAAATGCCCTCCTAAGGTAATCCAAATCATAAATTCATTTAATTACGACGTGAGGAACGGAGAATAAACAAGCTAGTACGAGAAAGAACAAGCATCCTTTACGAAAGAGTCAGCTCTCACACTAATCGCAGTTACAATATACTCAACAGTCATCCAAACACTTGATATTTCCAAAGATGGCTACTCAGACGATCACAGTCAAGCCTACTCCAACATGGATTCCTCTTAAAATTGAGGGTCAACTTGCGTCTCCTTACACTACTCCCAAATTCAATCTCCGTGTTACCCCACTCCATCCTACTTTTGGATGTCGCCTGGATGGTGTAGACTGGAGCAAGGACATTTCTCCTGAGTTGTACCAAGAAATTCGAGATATTGTTGACAAGGTAGTGTACAGCTCACTATACTCTTCGTATACCCGCTAACAATAGCTAGTACGGCGTTGTTGTTTGCCGCAGCACTGGCCTATCCGATGAGGCTCACATCAAATTTTCTGCCTACTTCGGTGATCTTGACGACGTGAGGCCTTATCAAAAGGCCGGCAGACTTCACCGTCTGGCCTATCCTGAGCTTTTTGATGCAGGAAACATTGATCCTCACACCGGCACTGTTGCTCCACTGACAGCGGCTCAAGTGATTGGCAACAAGGTACCTCTAGTTCTCCTGCTCACTTACAGCATCATTTACCAACATCATACACTAATATTTGTTAGGCCAATGAGCTTTTCCATGTTGACTCGTCATTCAATGGGCGTCGTGCAGGCCACTCGTTGCTTCTAGCTCATGTCCTACCCCCTAAGGGCACCGGTGGTGCTACTGAGGTATACTTGATATATCGAATCGAAACACGCAAAAGGCTAATGAACGAGTAGTTCTCTGATTCAAGAACGGCATATGATGATTTAAGTCAGGAGAAGAAGAATCAGATTGAGGATCTTGTTGCAAACCACTCTCTATTCCACTCTCGAAAGACGGTCATGCCTGAGTACTTCAAGGACACAGATCCAGCCAAGCTCCCACTAAGCAAGCACAAGCTCGCTCAAGTCCATGAATACAGTGGTCGCAAGGTATGAGTTCCTCTCACAGCTTGGATTGACAAACTCAAACTGACGTGATGGTAGAACCTATACATTGCTTCCTATTGCCACAGCATTGTTGGCATGAAGCCCGAGGAGAGCGACGCACTCCTGAAGGAGCTAAAGGATCATGTAGAAAAGCCATGCTACCGATTGACCATTGATTGGGAAGACAGCGGTGACATGATCATCTGGGACAATACTTCGGTGATGCATCGCGCCACTGGCGGCGCGTACGAGGGCAAGCACCCTCGTGATATGAGGCGTACCACAGTCAAAGACATGAGCAGCACCAGGTTTGGACTCAATGGAGACGGTGCCGATTGGCGAGTTGGACTCCCTTAAATGAACAGAGTCTTGTATTTAAGTCCTGTGTTCAACAGCAGTCAGATCTTGCGCAAGTTTAGGCAAATATATTGCAACGTCGAGTTATCCGCACATAAACACACCGACAACGTGATGTTTCTCTAAAAATGCTTTCGGTCAACTCATCTATGAGTAGGCTGTATTATGGCTAAGGTACAGCTTAGAGTGTATGAGAGAGGGGGCTCTCAACCGAGCGAAGACCAGCTCCCAATGGATCAGCTGTTCACTTCCGGCACACAGAGCTCTTGATTTTTTTAAGTTCTTTCTTCTATTTTCAATTCCTTAAGTCTATACCCTCAATAGTCGTAATAGTGGGCAATAACTTATGCTCATTTCAAGCCGATCAGCCCTTACTATTATCCAGCATCAGGGGCAGTTCGATAGATCATCACGATGCTACCACAAACGACTAACAGTGAACGCAGTTATGAAATTAAGAGCCACATTTCTTTAAATTTTGTGTCTTGGTGTCAGATCCAATAATTACGAAGTTTGCTCTCCTAGTGTTCCTCGCCAGGGGTCATTGAGCATCTTCTGCCCCATCTCTGACTTCCAAAACGTTCCATTAGGACACTCAAACTCGGCAAATTGCGCCTCCTTCACGTCGCATGAATAGCCCGGGACTGTTGGTGTTACATGTGTACCATTCTTAGTCACTGTTGCAGGAGCCTCAAAAACCTCATGCAAATGATCAGTATACTCCAGGATGCTCTTCTTCCCGGATACAACGACATAGTCGATTGTGCTGATGTGAGAACATAATTCAACCATCCCCGCGCCTCCGGAATGAGGAACAACGGGCACGCCAAACTTGGCGCTCATGAGAAGGACCGCCAGAATCTCATTGACTGAAGCAAGTCTCAGAGCATCAAGCTGCACGGCATCGATGGCTTCTGCTTGAAGGAGCTGCTTGAACATAACCCGGTTGTTCACGTGCTCGCCCGTAGCAACACCCATTCCATAAGGCTTAAGCGCGGCTCGAATCTTCGCATGGCCAAGGATGTCGTCAGGAGACGTAGGCTCTTCGATAAACCTGGAACTTGTCAGTCCACATTCTTCTGGAACTTCTGGGCGACTGGTGCATACCAGATTCCAATGTCCGACAATTGCTTCATATACTCGATTGCCTCGTCAACATCCCAGATTTGATTGACATCAACCATGAGAATGCCTTCCTTTCCAACAACTTCGCGGACAAATCCAAGGCGCTTGCGGTCCGTCTCCAGGCCTAAACCAGCCTTGAGCTTGAAATGACGGAATCCCTGCTTCACTGCATCTGCGAGAAGCTCGCGGACCTATATTCGCTCCGAATCAGGACCATGTCAAATCGCCAAGGTGTTTAGAACCGATTCTCACCTTGTCGTCAGAGTGTCCAAGCCACCCAGCAGATGTATTGTACGCTGGGACCGCATCATTCGCCAACGCCTCCTTCAGTCTATCCTGCTTGGTCTTCTCCTGTTCCCTAAGCATTTCAAGGGCCTGCTCAGGCGTCAAGACATCAGAGAGATACCTGAAATCAATAACCCTGACGAACTCTTCGGGAGTGAAGTCAGCCACTAGCCTCCACAAAGGCTTCTTCTCAGCCTTGGCCCAGAGATCCCACACCGCGTTGAGGACGGCACAGGTTGCGAGCTGCAAGACTCCCCTCTCAGGGGACATGAATCGGATCTGGCCAGACTGGAGCTTGCGCTGCGTTACGCCCATGTTCTCGATCAAGGAACCAAGGGTACGACCGATGAGCCGGGGTGCCAGTGACTTGATGGCCGTACATAGAACACTGCGCATGATAGCTTAGTTATTTATGTCAAGGGAGAGAGGAGACGAGTTTCACTAACTCGTTGCCCTGACCATTAGCAAATGACCAGCCCGTCCCCACCAATCCATCTACACTCGTGGTGTACTGGAGATAACCAAATGAATTCTCGCCCGCCAAGTTCATGGGATCTGTTCCGATGTTGTCCAATGATGTCGGCCATCGGATGTCACGTACAGTGAATGAAGTGATGACTATGCTGTTGAGATGCATTTTAGTGGCAGCAAGGGTGCAGGTAAAAAAACTAAGGTAATTTCAAATCCTCATTTAATGGGACATCAATCCTAGACACTATTCCAGCTATTCTTGAAGTGTTTTGACTCCTCATCATGCCGAGGCGCGGAAAGGTCTCGCCCTGGGGTAAGCGAACGTGAATTCCGAGGGGCGGAATGAGGCTCGGAATAGGTTCGACACCGACTTACCGAAGGTATCGAGGTACTGTTTCATACGATACCAAAAGCGTAGTTTGGTCTGCCTGTCCTGTTCCCCTTGCTAGCACAAGTTATACACTGAATGTCAGTATTGCACGTGCTTCTATCCCCTTCTGCCATCATCATGCCTACCACTCCATCGCTTCGGCCGGGCGTCTATGCCCCCATCCTTACACCCTTTCAGACAGATGGAACTGAACGGATTTGTTTTGAATCATTCAATTCTAACTGTGCCCGTCTTGGAAAAGCGGGTGCAGGAATTCTCATCGGGGGGACCCTAGGCGAAGGCCCTTTTCTCGAGCGTGATGAACGGATCGCCCTCATCAAATCGGCCAGAGAAACGCTAAACGGCCTCAAATTGGAAAGAATTCCTATAATTTCTGGAGTCACCGGCTCAAGCGTTCGGGAATGTATTTCTCAAGCCAAAGATGCTGGTTCAGCAGGCGCAGATGCAATGTAGGTCCAGGGCCAGCTGTAAGATCATTTTCATCATGCTAAAGCCGTGTCTAGCATTGTGGTGGCTCCAGCATACTTTTCGTTCGTCTATGGTAAAAACAAACCAGCTATCAAGGACTTCTTCACATCAATTGCCGATCAGAGCCCGGTTCCCATGATGATCTATAATGTAGGCTTCGGGCCCTAAATTCAAGCAATATATTGATTAACTAATGTCCATCAAAGATTCCGTTTGCTGCTGGAGGCATTGACCTAGATGCTGATTTTCTAGTCGACATCTCGTAAGTACATTCTACAAATTTCAAGTAACAAATGCTAACTCACGCTGCCCAGCGAGCATCAAAACATCGCGTACGATACCCCCACTCACATATCAGCATCAATAATGGATTCTAACCTGTTCCTACAGAGGAGTAAAGCTCACATGCTTTAATATTTCCAAGGGATACCGTGTCGCACTCCATGTCAACTCAGCCGAGTACAAAGCCCGTCATCCGCTTCCATTCCTCGTTTTGCCTGGATGCACCGACTATTTGCTACCAGCCATCTTGGGAAGACAGCATGGCTGCATCGGCGGACCGTAAGGAACTTGCTAATAATATTCCGAGTTTCCGGTATAGCTAATCGAAATTTTAGGGTGAATCTATACCCGAAACTATGCGTCAAGATCTTTGAGACAGGCAAGAAAGCAATGGAGACTGGGAACATGGAATTGTGAGTGCTGAGATGATTGGCAAAGTGCCGGCCGTGGAACTGGAGCTAATTGGAGATAATCAGGCTTCTAGAGGCCCAGAAACTTCAAGATATTGTCACCGAAGCCGACTCTGTGATCAATAAGTTTGTAAGTTGTCAAATGCAGCCTTTAGTATCCTCAATTGCAATGCTGATTACATTAAAGGGGTTTGTGAGCATCAAAGCTGCAATGGGAATCCATGTTGACAAGAGCTTCACTGGGGTATTCCGCAAACCATTATATGGATTGGAAGATGAAGGAGCTATTCAAGAACTGAGAACCGGGTTGGCAAAGGCGTTTGAAGTAGAAAATTCTCTCTAACAGCGGTAACTACAAGAATTACTTAGACCCATGGAACTCCATACCCTTCGTTATTCCATGGACCCCAAAGTCCCATTGAAACATCGCCATCTATGTAAGCCACATCGTTGTTGCCGAGTTCTTGCGGCCGGGTTTGCATGTCAAACATATCCAAGTCTGGTTGAAAGCTTGTGTTGATATCGCCGTAGGGGAAAAGATCCTCTAGGTTCGGTGGCACGACATTGCTGATATCCTCGAATTGTGTTGGATTTCCGTCTTCCTCTCGTATCAGATGCTCCACCACCTCGATGATTCCCCTAAGGTCTTCCAAGATACGTCTGGCCGTATGTAGATGGACAGAGATGTCTCGGAGTAAAGCTAACCCCGAAGAGAAAGACTTCATGTAGGCAGTTCGATATTCCTGCAGGCTAACCGTCGATAAGTCTCGGCATAGCAGAGTGGCGAGGATGAGAATCGCGCCCCCGAGAGAAAATGCCATGTGAAATCGTGAGCAGCTTGGTTTCCGCGCCTCTGCGCCATGTGGTAATATGTCGCCAACAATTTCCATGGCCACCTCTCCGCATATTTTGCCATCTGTCATAGTATAAGACAAAGATACCATAGTGCGCCGGCGAAGCAGCAAGCGTAGATGGCTCATTCTCTATATTTAGATCCTACTATTAGCGAACTTCTCATGTCGAAAAGGGGAGGGGCTTGTACCGTCCGTATGAGGGTCTCCTGCCATCGATGGCGTTGTGTTGGATGTCCATGCGGCGGAACCAAGGGGAGAGTGTGGAACACTGTATCCGTCCAATATCTGATACGTGCATCCAGAACAGCAACCTTTTCTCCCAGATGCGGATCGTCTGCAGACGTAACAGAGAACACCTGGTCCCATATTTCTCCAGCGAAGCGAGAAAATGCGGTCAGTCCGGAAAGGAAGATATTGAATGTGTGATCGGGGTCAGCATCTGGAATCGGCTTGTCGGGGAAGAGTGCCTGCATCGGCCAGTTCAATTAGTTCTTGATAACCCAGTCCAGTGGGTAGCAAGCGGCATGAGTGAGAACTCACCTTGTCGTCAATCCATGCTGGCTCTTCGACGTCAACGTCCGTGTCTCTAATTCCGTACGGCCTACCGCAACTCAAAGCAGTGCGCCTATCAACAAAATACAGAGTCCAGAACAGCCGTTGACGGACATGTTTAGAAAATGGAGTGCAGCTAGAGCCCCAAAGCCGTTGCTGATGAAGTCCAAACTGAAAGCATAGTCTACATGCGAGGCCAGAAGCGTTGTACGCCGCGTTTGGCATATCCGCGTGAATGAGATAGAATGTCTGAAGGTCTGTTAAGCGGGTTTATCTGCATACGTTTTGTCCAATATTCTCAATTTACCTCATAGACTAAATACTGGATGAGACTCAGATCTCCTCGACCCGTCAATTTCCTCTTGTTCATAAGGTCCTCGGCAATCAGATACCATCTCCACCCCGGTACCGATCTCGTTTGTTGGACGGGGCTCAATTCAGTGAGAATATCTGCGCACGCGAAGATGATATAGTTGATGGCGAGTAGGCATGCGTCTTGAGGATCGACAGCTCGCGTGGATTTTAGCTTTTGGCACTTGGAGGTGAATTCGGGTTCATTAATGCACGGATGGCAAGGGTTAATATCGTTGAAGAAGAGATTAAGATAACGAGCATACTCAGGAGCAGAGGGGAAAGGGAGGGTGCGGGAACCAAAGCGTATGTTGTCAATCAGCTCATCACTTGCACCTGTGACGGTCGACGCAGAGTTAAGCGTCAGTTCATTGTCAGACCTCCTTGAAGGCGATGAAGTATCAGAGTAGCCAAGTTGCTCACGGAGCGATGCAAGCCTGGCATTGAAGGCATCGACTGGGGCGTTGAAGGTGGTGTCGCCTTGGAATCCGCCATCTTCGTCGGTTCTTTGAAACTCCATGCTCGGTCTTTCGGTGCCCCGGGGAATAATTTGGATCAGCGTTTGCAGGGCATTCTCCATCTGCCTCATCCGTGCGTCCAGATCAGGAGGCACTTGGTTTGACGGCTGGACAGACTGCAGGGGCGGCTGAACGGTTGACTCGATCTGCTGGATGGGATCGACTTCCAATGCGTCAGGTGCATCATGTTGCCCAATTTCTCCCTGGCTAAGGCTTAATGGGATGGTATCTGAAAATAGACAGCGGATACCACGTCGAGCACAACGCTGACAAGGGTCGCTCCCGGAACACTGAAGAGGAAGACGATGAGCATTCACAACATTGGAAGAGCGATAGAGAGATAACCGACCTTCAACTTCCTTCTTCTGCAATGCGCGCTATTGATATGACACTGACTTAGCGCTATTGATCAAGGAACCTCATATCCCGGGGTCGGAACACACCATGCTCTTGAAGTGTACTTCCCCCGCGTCTTTCTAACCGAGTTGTTGGCTTTGGAAGCACCTGACGCGGGATGCGTAAGACCAGGGCTGGCCTGGTCACTACCGCCGTGCTGAGCATCGTCCATCTTTCGATGCGTTCAGTGACTTAGTCTCGTCAGTTGACATCAAGAGATATGCCTTCTCGCCATGACAGGAAGCAACGTGGAGGGATGAAAAAGAAATCACTGATGAGTGATTCCGATCGCAGCGCGGGGATCTTAATAGCGCGAGTTCAGGGGTGTGTGGCTACCAAGGTTGACCCCAACCCCCACACTTCTCGACAAGCCCACACACACAGTGGCTTTGATTTCCATCGAGATTGGCCCTCTTTGAAGGGGGTTGAGATAACGTATACATCAATAGGTTCGGTATTTCCAGCAGGTTTAGAAGTTGTCAAAGTTCCATGGATGCGAAACAACAAGGAACAGGCTCAGCACCGTTGAGCATTTAAACTAAGGTAAGTTAAAGGCCATGTTTTCAACACAACTCATCCTTGCTCATAATTTCATCTGGCTACTTATTCATAATTTATTCTAAAATGGTTCCAATAACCCCGCCTCACGCTCTTCGGGCGTGTCAAAAACGTTGACCCTCCAGGCATTGTCAAACTTGAACGGCATGCCTCCGAATTTATGGGCCTTTCCACGACCAATGTTTGTGAGTATCTCTTCGCTAGAATTGAAAATCAATTAATTTCCCTTTCTCTCCCCAAAGATCTTGGCTAGGATAAGACATACCTCTCGTCATCCAGATCGAAAACCTGAAAGTTAGATATGATACGGGCTTTCTTGACCGATTTTGGCAATACAGAAAAGCCGCGCTAGAAATTCCAAGTCAACCATGTTTCAACATATTGGTCAATTTTTGTGATTCTTTTCGGATAACAAACCTTGATGCTCCATGAGCAGAGAACCTGGCCTGCGTCCTTGCCGTACTTGGCCGCGATGTCCTTGACAAGTGGATTTCCCAGCACTTGCGAACCTCCACGGGAAGGGTCACCACCGAACGGCATGTACGCCGAGATATGCATACCAATCTTTTTACCGTAGTCGAGTAACTCTTGCTGAATCAGAAGTGGGTGTGCTTCCACTGCGCTAGATAGTGAGTAAAGGCAGCTATCGACTGGAAATTCGAAAGCGAGGACATACCCTGATTGACTGCGGAAACAACGCCCGTCTCGTCGATGATTTTTTGACAGTGGGAAACGCGGTAATTGCTTACACCAATACTGCGTTTTTTTATGTTAGACTTATCCAGATGATCTTGGGCTGCAAAGAGAAGGATTGACGCCCTTACCTCTTGACCTTTCCACTCTTCTGGAGATCAATGAAAGCCTTCCATGTGTCTACAATGCTAAGCTCCGTATCCAGAAGCATGTTGCCTTGCTTTGCCGGCTCCAGCCTGATGCCAGTTGGCACACTCTTATCTTCAACCGCCGCGAAATTGACAGGCCAATGGATCTACACATGTGTAAGAGAAGATATATCTGAAATCAGTCCATTTTAGCATACAAGGTACAGATCAAGGTAGTCAGTGCCAAGATCAATCAAAGTTTGGTCCAATGCCTTTTTCACATTTTCTGGCCGATGGTGGCTAACCCAATCGTTAATCGACTTTCTCGGTCTATGGACAGGCAATCTTTTACTCACGAATTCCACGCTTTGCTGGTAATGAAGACATCTTCACGCTTAAAGTCGGGCTCCTCTGCACTAAGGATTCGAAGGGCTTGTCCCACTTCGGCTTCATTCTAAAACATGTTAACTCATTTTAACTACCTATACAGAGGAGGGAGGCAAGCTTGCTTGGTAAAATTGGGCGCAATCAATGTGTCTCATCCCGCACTTCCAACTGCACCATGGTCAGCTTACATGGACCGGACAGCGTGATCTATGGAGGCTCACGCTGCAACAACTGCATTTGTCACTTCGTTTGGAGCTGACAAAAATGTACCCAATCCTATGACAGGAATCTTGTTCCCATCATTTAGGTTAATTGTTCTCTTGTTCGTTGGGACAGAGGCCATAGTGAGAATCGAAAGCACTTAATTTTGGGGAATGCCACTAGGTAGGTGTACCAGGGATAAGACTGGTGACGACACAAGATTCAATAATAATAATTCAAAGCAACTATCATCAGTCTCAGCCACATTGACTCTTAATCAAGGTTGGCAAGGGAAGAGAGGCAAGGGAAGGGAAGCGATGGCGGAATGAGCGACGGAATTCAGTGGGGATGGTGGGGAGGATTTCCGATGGTGCTTCACCACCATCGGAATTCAGGAAGATTCAGAAGCTAAAAAACAGCATGAACAGGGTAAGAAAGAGGAAGGCCTCTGAGCCACTATACTAAAGCCTTTCAGCCAAGCTTATCTCATCTACAAGCTCGTGAGGAAAGCGCAAACAACCCATTTCACGTCATGTTAAGAACCCAACTCCAACCTACTAGCATATCTCTAAAGTTGAACATTCAGTTCTCACAACAATAGACTTCCTTGTCTGAATATCCAAAGAAGCTATCAAGCTAGTGAGGTAGAGGGCAGAAATGGGAAGTTGGACCAGCTGAAGCTAAATGGGACCCCTGAAGTTTCGAAAGCCAATCTAAAATGCTGCTAAGGTCATATTCTCTTCAAGTATTTATTGTCTCTTCAAGCATTTATTATCTCTTCAAGCATTTAGTATCTCTTCAAGCATTTATTATCTCTTCAAGCATTTATTATCTCTTCAAGCATTTACTATCAAGAACTAAACGCAAATTTATATCCCAGAATAGCAACGAGCATCGATCCAAGCATAATATTCAGTAAAACCAAATTCCTCTAGCAGCCAAAGCTGTCAAGCAATGCCCATCCGATACCAGTCACCAAAATAAACACCATATCCTCCCTTAACTCCCTGCTTGCCAAAGTCACCGCGGTAAGCACAGCTGAAACGACCATATTTGACGTCGGGCGAGCCATGCACATGTATGAGCCAGCTCATCTCTGGAAGTCCACCTGCCCTACGAGGACAACAGATGTCTTGCCATTGGCGCCCTCATTGCGGAAACTAATATCATCATCTATTCCAAATATTCCATATGGTGTCTTGGAATATCCAGATACCCGCACATCGACCTGGCTATGTTTCAACTGTTAGACAGGATGAATGACTCAAGAGCCAGAGGATGCGCAACTTACTCCCAGGAGGTCCATATTCTGAGCTTTCTTCTTTCAGAAGAACGGAATCTAGCCTGTCTAGTCATTTTGTGACAGCTAAGGTCGAACTATACGGTATAGGGCGTCAAGAGAAGACCTGTAAAGTGTGGTTCTTGTTTGAGGGCCAGATAGCCTGGTAGCGGCTTTGTATTTGTACGATATAGTAGCTTTTGCAAAGATAATATGTCGCGATTAAAGGTGACCGTCATGAAAATGTCGGAGCCACAGAGCCAGTTTTATATCAAAACAAACCTGTTTGATAGCCATCCCCCCTTCCATACTGGGCAAGACGAACGCCGCCAATGAGGTTGCCCGGGTCCTAAAGGATTATGACCTGCATGTCAATGTGGGCTCACATCACAAAAACGGCTGTCTGCATGCATTCTGCTGACCCCCTATCTCGTCACATGCTGCGCCCACCGAACCGCGTAGAGTGTTTAGCCTTCTTATCGCAACCATGGCGCGGATATCAGATCCGAATGGTGATCACATTGCGCAAGGGCCCCTTTTCTGTTGGAATCGTGCCAGATACGAGCCTGGTCCAGTCAGGCGATGCCACTTGGTCGCTGGATCCAGCGTCCTGCATAAAACCTGGGGTAGAGCTGAGTCACAGGCAGCCAGAGCGATTCAGCTTTGTGGTCGGGATCCTGTTTCTGGGCCGTTTAGGTTGAGAAATCTGCGCGTCATGTCTGATTCCATCATTTCCTCATCCGTAGCTTATTATGCTTCAGTCGCTTTCTGATATACCTGTCAGACAGGACCAGCCCCCTCGCTACTGACATCAGGCAGCAGGATGCGATGTAATGTTTATTTACGCGACTCATATACCGTCTGGGTCTCCTGGCAGACGCGAACCTGCGCGATCCATTGGCGGACTGGCTGCATGAGGAGGAGTGACCACCTGATTCACACCCCCTCATCTTTCCACCAAAGACAATGTTTTCCTCGCATCCGCTTTCCAGTTCTCCGCTTTCCTCTACGAATCACATGTGGCTGTCCGATACCAGATTATATTAGATAGAAGCTTCTAGAGAGTCATCGCGCCCATCTTCCCTCCTATCTCACACTGACCGCTCTCTGAAATCAGGGAAACTGCATTTCGATAGCGCAGCCCCCCAATATCAATAACCGCCTCTGATATACATAGACAAAGACCCTTGATGCTTGTAAGCGCCCCTCTTTGCGCAGCTGAAACCTGCCTCGCCGCACGTATAGACGAAGTCCCATGTGCGTGATCATGGCGCAGGATGACGGTGAAGATAAACAAGTAATATTCGGCCATCAATCAACGTGAGCTGGTATGTATTCTCCATTCCTTGAATAGATTTTCTTCTCTCGCAGCGCAGAGACATACTTGAGCACTGATTTATTGCGTCCTGGGTCCTGCTTTGACGATCCGGTCCCACCATTACTCCTCATCTCATGCATGCTATTTCTAAGACTGAGCCTTAGAATGTTCCCTTTGCTAATTTTGTCGTCAAATTTCAATACTGTCATGAATATACTCCACTTCAAGGCTGTTGCCGCAATTCCTGCACAATTTCGGGTGTCTGACGCTCAATGGTTTTGAGGTAGCAACACGGGAAGCGACACTGATCCCAATCTCATATGGCGTACGTCGCACTCTGCTGCTACTATCAGTAAAGCTCTCATCTCTCATACTTCTATCTTCTCTATTTGCACAATATTTTACTCCAATAAACCCCCCTCTTTGGCGAGCAATGTAACTAGAAGGCTACCCAAAAGGGAACCGATGGCATATCGAGTTCTACACTTGTCCATGCCAAATGCCACATGCGTACGTGTAGATGCAAGTGGGTGGCACTCTAGACTCGGTCGACCTGACCAGATGGCCATGTTCGCATGGCATGTGCAGATGTAAAGAACCGGCCTAAC